TAACTAAATCGTCAATAATGTATTATATAATAGTTAAACCATAAATAATAGAAAAAAAGTGTACAAATTTTGTCATCCTATTTATTATTAACTATTGTTATTACTGTTGAAAATGTTACCAACAGCCAAGTTTATGATAAATATATGATTATTGGCCAAACTCAACAATGCATTTTTGACCTCCTGTATATTGATATCAGCCACATGCTCATGATGTGATATTTTCGAATTCCTTACCTGTATGGTTAAATGCAATTAATTTGTTTTCTATTGGGTCTCTTATCCTTTTCTTAAAAAAACTATAATTCATGAAATCATTGTGCTTTTTCTTGTTCTTACATGAGAAAAAGAGATTAATATATTTTAGAACTTTATCACATTTCACCCTTTTTTTTTTAATTCACTCTTCTACTTAAAAGAAGTTAAGTCAAAGACAAATTTTAAAAGGTTTTAAAATAAAAATAAAAATGTTTTAAATGAAGAAAAAATGTATATAAAGCTTTCACAAATGATATATATGGAAGAGCTTCTACTTTTAAGTAAAAGAAAAGTCGAAAGAAGTTAAACTAAACGCTACCTTAGACTTTAATGTCGAATCATTGAAAATAAGTAACGGTAGACTTAAGATGTTATGTGTTCAATTAAATGAAGATTTGTATAAAATAGAGAGATAAATTGTATTCAAGTGTTTTTCCTTTTGAAATTTCGCTTCATTTCTGGGTAGAAAGAGTTCATATTCTCAACTTACTGTGATTCTCCTAACTCTTCCTATTAAGTAAGGATGATGATAGGTTAATAAATTCGTCAGAAGACTGAACTATTAATAGCTAAACCAACATTACCTAGTTCAACAAAAAGAATAAATCAAGATTTTTCAAAATGTTTATTCAGTTAAATATATGATGTAAGACTTGTGAGAAATTCTACTTAAGTCTGACAACATTGGATTTACCTATTTTGTGTGTGCATATGTATAATATTATATAATATTTATACATACTTATTTAACCTTGTTTTAAAATTAAAACTAGCTTTTGCTAGTTTGCCTTTAGTCTATTGTCCTATTTAAAAGAAAGCTTATTGATATTTTATTTTTTTTTAATATGAAATAAGTCTTTAAATTGGATATTTGATGAATTAAAATAATATTTGAAAAATTCAAATAAATCATAAAAATAAATTAAAATTTAGGCTTATATTTAAAAATAAACATAAAGTTTAATCAAATTTATTCATTTATATACCCGTTAAAAAATATACACCCAAATTAAATAAATAAATAAAATATCTCTATCGTATCAAATTCATGTGGACATCGTTTTCTTAATTATAATAGATTTTATTTATTAACCAAAGACTTGACAATACAATGTGAGAACCTGCGTTATGATTAAAATAATAAATTATGTCGTATTTCGATAATTACGTGATTATTAAATAAATCTAATTCTAATTTGTATATAGTTATATAGTAAAGATATATTTATCTTTATCTCATTTTATATTAAAAATTTATCTTTTCTATTAAAATTTCACCTTATTATACATATGATAAGAGTAGAGTTTATAAATCTTAAAACAATTATCATCAGTTAACTTTAAGAGATGAGTTAGATTAAAGTCTAAAATTAAGATGATATTAAAATTTATCGTATATTTGATATTAATTTATTTTTAACTAAAAAAATCGACTAATATTGAGATTGAATTAGGAAAAATCTCAAATTTAATGTGATATTACCTTAAATCCAAAACAGAGGCTCCTACAGATTTTTTTCAATGCAATATTTTATTTGAAGTGTGAAAGGGTATGGTGCAGACTAAAATTTAAGGCAAAGGTATTATAAAAAGTAATGAGCTTTTTTATCCCATTTTGCTGGGGTTCTTTCGTTGGGGCTACACATCTACACGTAAAATAAGACTATTAATATTAAGTCATTCCAGAAAAACAATTTCGAAGCATTGAATATAAATGGTGGGTCCTTTTATGATTTGGATGCAGCAAATATATATATTTTTTAATTTCTTTCTGTTAATAAAAAACAATTATATACATATTAATCTAACCTGCCCTTGTCAAATTGTGAGGAAATTACAAATTTATAATTGCAAGTGATGATGCAAATAAAAAAGAATGACATATATAAACATTTTTGTAGGTGTCGAAAATAAAGTAGGACACTGAGATCATGTAACTAGTGGTGCCACTTCTGGCCCGTGGATCAAATGACATAAACCTTTTTCCTCCATTCATTAAATTAAATTGGTTAGTTCACCAATCCAATGGATCTTTGGGGCAAAATCCTGGGTTTGGAACCGTCCAAAATGATAATTAATCAATATTCTTTTGTAAAGGGCCAATGATGACGACGATGAATAATTTATACAAACTATTTAGCTTAATCACATGATTAATCTGAAGTAGTAATTTGTTTTATTTATAATTAATATTTCATTAGCTTTGGTTTCCAAAAGGATGGGGACAAAGTGGCTTCTCAAAACAGCATAATTCTGCATTGACCTCCCTTATCATGCTCGTCACCCTCGTGTCATGCAACTTTCTCATATATTCCCCACTTTCTAGGGTGGCAGCAGCACGCGCCTCCATTTCATATACATTTCTCATTTGGCTTTTTCAATGGTTATGTCCTATCGTTCCTCGCCCCCACTAAATATATACCATTAGTAATCCCATTTTCATAGCAAACAACACTTATGTTCTGTAATGTTATAATACTAGCTAGTATTTGTAGCAACCTAGCTATATATTATGCGTGCATTGTGCTCCAATTCCTATATATCTTGGAAAATGAGGAGATAATGGTGTAAACTAAGCAAAGAATAGGTCATATATGTGATGCTATCATATTGTTTTTTTTTTTTTATTATTGATTTTATATCCGTTTAATTTTTATGCAACTACTAAACTCATGTTTTATATAGAATTTGTTTGGTTTTATAATTATAGTGCCTCAAGCTGATGTAAATTGAAAACAGTTAATATTTAGTAGTAAAAATGTAAAAAGAAAAATTTCAAATGTTTTCTTAAAGTACAATATCTTCTACTTTTAGGTGAAATCAATATAATATCAATTAGACAATGCCTTAAGCATATAACTTTTTTCATATAAAAAGCTAGGTTCAAACTTGTTAAATTGGTATATTCCTCGGATAAAACTATCATGTAATGTTATTTATATAAGTATATAACTTTAATTTATGGAAAAATTAATTCAGTCATTTATTTATTTTTTGTCTATTAAAACTTATTTTATTAAAATTGTCCTCAAGTTTTTAAATGTTACAGTTCATCTCATGCTTACATTTATGAAATTTAAAAATAATTCTTTCGTGTGGAGGAATCCAAACTCAATAGAAAATTGCCCAAATTTTAGTCAAGCTATACCTCTTACATTTTATAAATATAAAATATTTAGCTTTGTAATGCATCATCCTGTTTACTCGATCTATTTTGTAAGAATTAAATATCATTACGTAGAGGATAAATTTTAATTAAATATAGTGTGATGTGTGTCATCAATTCTACGTGCGATTATTCAAGTTTTGAGATCTGTGTAGTTGTTAGTTCACACGAATGTGCATGTAGGTACTCAAATGTTGTTTTTAGATACCATAATAGCTTACTATTTGATTAGAAACAGTGGAATTAAAAGAACATTAATTAATTAATAGACAAAATCCCTTCTTAGTCAAGGGCTATAATTTTGTTTCCGATTGCAATTGTTTTCGATCTCTTGTTGGGCATACATTTTTTTTTTCAAGATTAAAGACTGTAAGATGTCTCTAAAAGGGTTAAGATTAATTTTTCTCACAATTTATGACTATTAGTTATTTAAAAAAAATTATATATAATGAATTCAAATACAATTTTTTTAACTATATAAATGAATCCTACATATATAAATATAATGATAACATTGCTATAACTTTTCGAATTTGGTTGGGCATGTTTGAAGATACATAATAGGCATCAAATCAAAATGCATGTCTCACGAATGTGTGTATCTATTCCTTGTTTTTATTTATTTACTCTTAGACTTCATCAGGTCCCCATCACGCATGATTCAAGTATAACTATCATATCTCTTCATGATTTTAATCTAGCGGTCAACATAAAATCATAGAAATAAACAAACCTGGAATGACCTAGCAAATATTAACTAGGGGCCAAAACCAGCTCACTCATGAGATCTTATTGAACCGTATTTCCTCTATTGTTTTTTTTTTTCATTTAACAACATATTGTTACTTACTACAGATTTGGCACAGCCTTTTAAAGTAAAAATACTTTTAAAAAGAATTTTTTTAATCTCATACATTTAATAGCCATGTTAAAGGATATTAGGAATATTCTATTATATATTTTAGAAATAGTAATTCAATTATTTTTACATAACATATATTTTATAAAGGGCTTTGTTATATCTTTTAAATGATTCTCATACATTTTTATAAATAAGTACTAAATGAAAATTTATCACTTTTGATTATTTAAAAAGTCAAATTTAAAAAATATGGTAACAGTTCCTTTAAAAATGTAAAGTAAGGACTGGGAATAGATATTAAGAAAAATAATAAAAAATAAAATGTATGTGTAGAAAGGTTTGTGATGAACTAGGGAGAGTGGACCCAGAGAGGAAAGGAAGGGTGAGAAGCAATAAAGGGCATTAGTTAGGCCTCGGGTGAATGAAGCAGAAAAGGAACAGAGATGATGGTTGTTGATACTTGTTAGCAATGTAGGACCATTCCCAAAAACAAAAGTCCAACAAATGATGATCATTAGAAGCACATGCCTCCACACCCTCCCTTTATATTCCTCCCCTCTCCCAACACCATAATCACTTTGTCGGTCCCTTTCATCTCTCTCTCTTCATGTTCCAACCTTGAATCACAATCTTACTCTTCACACATCACACCCTCTATTCTGATTACTCCAACCCTCTCTTTCTCTTTCTCTTGTATTTTCTTACTTTGTTAGCATGAAACAACAACAAATCTTCCAAAGAAGCTCAAGTGCTAGCACCACAACAACAAGAAGCAATAGAAGAATCATCCCTTCAAACCTAACACATCAAGTCTTATATCGTGCTTCCGAATCCGATGATGTATCCGACAAACTCCTCATACGACGAGGATCTTCACCTTCGGTCTCAAACTTGCACAACCAACAAACAAAACTAACACAACCAAACAAGCTATCTTCTCTCATACGTTCGTTCCTTAATATCTTCACTTTTCCAACGATCATCCCAACATGCAAGTGGCTCACCATCCCTTCCCACCTCTCCATAACCCCTTCCCTCGGCAGAAAAGTCACCGGAACCCTCTTCGGCCACCGCCGCGGCCACATATCCTTCGCTGTCCAGCTGGACTCTCGCGCCGAGCCTCTCCTCCTCCTCGAACTCGCCATGTCCACCTCCTCCTTAGTGAAGGAGATGTCCTCCGGCCTAGTGCGCATTGCGCTGGAGTGCCAGAAAGTGCCTGCCACTGCACACGGTGGCCGGCACAAGAGACTCTTCCAAGAGCCTAATTGGACTATGTATTGCAACGGAAGGAAGTGTGGGTATGCGGTGTCCCGCACGTGCGGGGACCTTGACTGGCACGTGCTGAGCACCGTGCAGAGCGTGTCGGTGGGTGCCGGGGTGATCCCGCTGCTGGAGGACGGGGATGAAAGTAGGAAAGGTGGCGGCGGATCGGAGGGCGAGTTGATGTACATGAGGGCAAGGTTTGAACGAGTCGTTGGAAGCCGTGACTCGGAGGCGTTTTATATGTTGAATCCTGATGGTAATGGAGGACCTGAACTTAGTATTTTTCTGTTGAGAATATGATTCATGTGAAAATTCTTTAGAAATAGAATACTCATAAGACTTTGTTGTTTGAAAATGGTTTTATCAAAATAGGGGATTCTAATTAAGATTGATGTAATGTTTAGGGATGATCACTTGTTTGCTTTTTTTGTTTTTATCTTTATATTTTTGTCCATATATATAAAGATGAAAGGATATGTGATTTATTTTCAGATCATATATATATACTTTTCTTGTGATGTTTAAGGCAGGTTATTGCATTTACTTGTATGAAAAACTAATTAATGATAGTTTTTGGTAAATAGTCGTATAGTTTGAATTGATTTCATGATTTTAATATGATTAATTTTGAACCGTTCAACTAAACTAATTGGAATTAATTTGAATTATAAGATTATAAAATAAAAAATAATAATTTTTCAATATGAAAATAAATAAGGACTTAAATAAAAGGAATAGTAATTTTATATTAATAAATTTTGCGTGGACACAGTGCATATAATTATAGACAAGTGAGTTTTTGGTAATTGTGAGTGTATTGGTGGCGTGTTTGACTACTTGTGGTCGTGCAGGCAACGCTGTCCACAAGATTTATAAATAAATATTAATAATACTCTCGATCAAGCTTCGTTCGTGGCCTGCAACAAACGGATTACAATACTCTTGTGTTGTATTATTATTATTTTTACAATTAACATTTGAGGTTTCATACAAGTTTATCCCTAATTTTATATATTTATTAAACTTAAGAGAGTATAAGTGTAAATTTATTATTATTGTCCATGTTATTGTCCAGGTCTCACGTGGGATATTAAGGTGACACAAATGAATCTCATTTATATTTAAAATATTTGTAAAAATTGTAGCCAAAGTGATATGTTTTACTCAAAGCGCTTCGCTTGTTTTAATGTAAATTTTCTAAAATAGATGAAGTGTGAATAATTTAAAAAGGTTAATAAAGTATAATTGACAATTATTAAAATCCAATACAGTGTGTTTTCCTACTCTAGTAATAAATAATAATAATAATGGGTAACTCAAGAAATTACTGTTAAAATTTTTTAATATAGATTGTCTAGTGCACTACCCTACTCCAAATTCAAGTATGAATTTGCTCTGTCGTCATAACTGTTTATATATGTTAGTTTCTACGAGCAGTGCCTAAAAAATATATATAATTTTGATTCTTGAAGTTCAAAAAAATTTAAAAAAATATGAATTTGCTCTGTCTCTAGTTTTATTTTTATTTAAGTGAATGATGTTTGTTTAAGAAAAATGAAAATTTCATCTTTTCTCTCGTAACTTCTTTCTCTTTCTCGCTTTGAGTTTTTTCTCTCCCTCCACCCAATCTCCTTCCCTCAATCTATTCATCTACTTTCACTTAGACTCTTTATCTCTCCCCCACCCACTTTCCCCTATCAATAGAAGTAGAAATAAGTAGAACAGAAGCCTTAATTTAACCTTTTTAAGACTTAATTTATTTTGACCTATTTAAATAATATGTTTAGTTTAAATTTTTTAAAATGTTTAATTAATTAAATATATCAAGCTTGAGTTTTAAAAAAAAATTTAAATGACATATTTAAAACTTAAAATTTTTAATAATATATTAAATCATTTTATATCAAAATTATAATATGATTTTATATAAAATAAATAAAATCTTAAATTATAAATTATAATTCTTTTTATTAGAGTTAAAAAGTGTCTCTACTACATATTTGAAATGTAATGAAGTGGAAAACTAAAATAAATTATTAAAGGAAACATGTATTTATGTTATACTCTAAATTCAAGCTTTGCAATATTATTATACATGTAATTTGTTGGTTTTTGTAAGCAGTGCCTAAAAAATATATGTAATTTTGATTCTTCAAAAATATATAGCATTTGAAAAGGGTAACAACATCATTTAGTTCACAATTTAAATCTCACGCAAATTAAAAGAATATGAATTTATTTTAATTCATGCTAAAATTAAAAGGTCTAATTTTATTTTTATTTCAAAAAAATAAAAATTTTCTCTTCTCTCTCCCGATGTTCCTTCTCTGTCTCCCTCCACTCAAATCCTTTCCCTCATCTACTCTTTCTCCCTTTCCAGCTCCCTTCCTCCCTTTTCCCCACAAACTCCCTCACCTGCTATGCTCTTTCCTTCTCTTTCCTTCTCTGTTCCTTTCGATTTTAGTATTTCATTTCCTCTTTTCCTAGGACCTCCTCTTCTAGTCTTAGTCTTACACTCCTAACCTTATATATTCTTACTCGCTTTCCTTCTATAGTCTTACAATTTTTATAAAAAAAATTGATATTTATTTAAGCAGACTAAATTCGTTTAAACAAAAATGAGACTTATTATTCAATTTTTGCATGAATTAGAATTAATTAGATAAACAAAAATTTATTTATTTTTTTTATCTTTCTCATGTATTTTATCTCTAATCTTTTATCTCACCAAATTTAAAATAATTAAAGTATAACAAAATGAAAATTTGAAATAAATTATTAAAGGAAACAAAAAAATACTAATTAAGAAAAGAATCTTCATCACATTGGCTAACAATGAAGCAACAAAAGAAGATTTTGATTTAACTCATGAGTGTGACTCATTCTGTAATCACTCAAACCCCAATGGAAATGGTTGAAAGTGGGAGGAGCACATTCTGATGCTGGATGATGTAATTTCCAGCATATGTGGAAGAATGTCACCTTTGTGCCACACAATGTATCAGATATCGATAAGATTTCAATTTATATGTCACTACTATATATAGAATAATACGACCCAAAATTTCTGAGCTTATATTCAACAAAGAATAATTCTAATTCCGGCAACATTTTCTTAATAAATTTTAATTATTGAATTAAGAAGTCTTAATTTTCTTTATATTTTTCAAATAATAAGAATAAATTATAAATTGTCTCTATACACATCTGTTTAATGTTGCCTATGTATAAAATAATTATAATTTTTTTATATAAATATTTATATAAAAATTAAAACATAAAATTTTAAGTTTAGAATTAATATGTAAATAAGTCTAAACTATAGAAATCAAATTTGTATTTTAACTAATTATAATTTTTCTAAAACATATCAAACATCAAATTTAATTAAGAAATTTTTTTATTACAATATTATTTTAATTTTAGAATACAGAATAATAAAAAAATTATTTTATAATATTTTATTAACTATAGTTTTTAGAGCGGAGTTCCAACACCTAAATGTAACTTTTTTAAGAAAAGAATGTATTTACTTTGTAAAAGTTATAAAGTATAATTAATAATTGTTCTTTTAATAAAATTATTATAATTAATTGCATAAATATAATCCTAAAAATTAAAGTTAATATTTTTTATTTTATGTTTTTATCTTTTACTATACGTTCAAATAAATGAATAGAGTATCGAAGTATTAATACTTTTATTATAATTTTTATAGAATTTTTGTAATAAAAACTATTTACTATCTTTGTAAAATGAAATTATATCAAATATAAGTTCCCTTAAAGATATAAATTTTAATCATTTAAATTTTATGATTTTATTATTTGGTACTTCATTTATTAATTTTTAAAAATAAGTTTAACATTTTTTTTAATTCCTAACTAGAATACACGTCTAATTCTTACAATTGAAATTTATTTATAAATTATTCTATATAATTAAAAGTTTATAATTTAGTCTATATACAAATATTTTTATATTTTAATCCTTTTGTCTAACATTGTCAACATATTTATAACCGATAAGGATTAATCTAAAAATATTTACTCATTGAACTCCTTATCTTTATGCATATGGCTAGTGTACATTGCTGTAGATTTTGTTAAATACTCTATGTTGTCAAACTTGGTTTGAGAGTTAAAGTGAGTACGTGTGTGTGAGACATAAAAGAATAAAAAAAAGTTTACTAAGAAAGAATTAAGAGTACGTAAAGAATAGGATCTATAACATGGTTAAAACTCAAGGATTTTAATGCCGTAAAAAAAGAAAATATATATATTCAAGGGAAAATTTTGTTCCTCGGCTTGTGACAAATAGATCATGAGAAGTAACCACTTCTAGAATTTGATGTTAAAAAAGAGAGATTCATGTGTCTCAAAATTCAACAGGATATACGATAGTATAATGAAGTATTTTAAATTTCATTATAATCTCTTTGAGTATTTATTATATCAAAAGTGATAAATAGAAAGGTTGTCTTGTCGGAAATATTTGATGAGATTTGAGGAGCAAAAATAGCACAATTTCAAACTTGCTTTGAGTGTGATATCAGTGGGCAAGAACTGTTGGAGACAAGTTGCGTTGTTGATAAGGGGTAACATTACCACATGGCAAAGAAAATATTGGTCAATGTTGCGGTGATGATTCAGACATTTAGCTGTGTCGAATGTGTTAAAGATCACAGCTAAGCAACTTGTACACATGCCAAATTTTCGATTGTAATTCGTTGAGCCAAACAGCAGAAAGTAATATAGATATTGCACATATTCAATCTTCTCTCTCTTTTGTTGAGCATTAGAAAGATTTTCAGTTTAATTTACTTTTCAAATTTAGCTCAATAGTTTTATAAACAATATCTTAATCATGTTCCTAATTATACCTAACATTTTAACAGATATTTTAATGCATTTTTGTATTATTAAGATTGAATATATGGTATATAAAGTTTACAAAACAAAACTTTTGCATGTAACTTAATATCAAAATTAGATAAATTCTGAAACCTAACTAAAGAATTATCCAAATCTAATAACTATTTTAACTATATCTTTAATCAATATAAAACATCTTAACGTTCAGCACAGATTCCGCACACATATATATAAGTTTTTATTTTGTTTAGGATTAATGATAATAGAGATAAACTCTGAGATCTGACGAATAACCCGTGAGACTATATACCTAACACATGGAACGGATATATACTTCACATATTAAAATTGAGAAGCTTTACAAATTATTAATATCTCGAACATTTAAAATAATAATATAGAATAAGAAGAGTAGATATATAATAATATAATTAAGTAAGATTCGAGATGATAGAAAATTAGAAACTTAAAATTAAAAAAAAAAAAGTTGATGGTGTATAAAGTGAATAGAGAATTAGAATTGGAAAGTGCCAATAACCTAACTTAAAGAGTTATTAATGTTAATAATGGCAAACAAAATGGAGTATAGATTGTGATAGGTTTTCTGGGAAGTGACTGGGGATATTTGTAAACAGTAATGTATTGATAAGTGATAGTGTCTTGATAATGGGGGTGACAATGATTCATTAAGAGGTTTCACATAGTGTGAATTGACCACATGGGTCACTTCAAGAATAACCTAATTAGTGGACATGAATCTGAATATTTGGTGAGAACTTCACCATTATTACACACACCATAAGGACTCTCCAAGACATTTTATTCAAAAGAACCTTATTTAGGATGAAAATTATATATTTCTACGAGCAGACACCAATCCCTGTATCCTTTGTCAGCTTAGGATTCCAAAGATTTGGTTTCCTTTTCCTCTTTCTGTAGTTTGTGTTTATGTGTGTTTTCTTTGGTTACTTTGAATTTTGCTTCTTGATGTCAACAACATTTTCTTCTCAAGTGGGACTTGAGTTTGGGTTTGCAAGAGTGCATTTATGTATAATTATATTTGCAAATTATATCAGCATAACCATAATATTGAATGTTATTAAAATGCCTTTAAAGCATATCCACTTTCTAACAGCAAGGATTTTAATATAACACATGAATTCATAAATAAATAATACATGAACCGCAATCAAAACCAAACTAATTCTTAGGTTAGCACAAACATAACACACATTACCTTGAAGCATATTTAGCCAACTTAAAAAATGCAATATATTAAAAGAAAAAATTAAATATATATTTAATTCTTATAAATATTTACCTTCCTTTTAAAACTTTCTCTTGTATATTTTAAGATTTTGTTTAAATAATGGGATGAAATTGTGAATAAACAAATACGAAGGAAACAAATGTAAAGCTAAAAAATAGAGTTGAAATAGATTAAAAAAATGTATATATTGTTTAGATCGGTAGAAATGGAAGAAATAAAAACGATTCTTTTAAAGTGACAATAAATAAATTAATAATATAAAAATATTTTTCTAATAAAAAATTAAAACTTTTAAAAAATAATGTTGTATACTATTTTTTTATTTAAAAAAATTATTTAGCATTAAAATATACTAAAAAATTCAAACCTCCTTCTCACACCAATTTTCATTGCAAGAGTAGAGTGAAATTAAAATTACGAGACACATTCTCATTTTTTTTTCTTTTCTTTCCACTAAAAAACAATTAAAAAGACAGAAAATTATATTTTTTATGCAAAATAACTCATTCTAAACACATTTCAAAAGAAAATGAATTCCAATCATAGTTATCTTAGGGTTCATTTAATAAACAAGATAAGATGATAAGATAAAATACTTTATTTTATCATATCTTATTGTTTGTTGATTAAATTAATAAGAACTTTGAGAAAATCACACAAAAACTAACTATTATAGTTAGAGAGAGTAAGGCCTTATAATCTTACATTAGAACTTTACAATTGGATCTTAACATTTAACAAAATATGATAATTTATCTAGCTAAGTTATCTAATTTTATCGTTATAGTTCAAATCTTATCCTTAAAGTGATGGGTTAAGAACTATCAGAGTATGTTTTCTACTTTTCTATTACATTTTTACTCATATTTTATTCCCTTTTTAATATTTTATAAAGAATAATTATTTTAAAAATATATAATTTTAAAATTTTTATAAAAATTATATTGAACATTTTTAAAATATATATATATATATATATATTTAAAATTTTTTAAAGAAAAGCATATTTTTTTAAAAACAATTGTAAAAAAAATATTTTAATCATTTCAAAAAATATATTTAAATTTTTTTGTTCTATTTATAATTTTTTACCTAAAATAATTGAAATATTGAATTAAATTATAATAATTTAATATCAAATTTTAATAGTACATGTACATAAAATATTTTAATTTTTAATAATATTTATTTTGCTATCTTAATGTACATAAAAAAAGGGATAGATAATAGAAGCTTATCAATTTCTTATTATATCTTATTTTTATCTATTTTTTATTGTATCTTTTCTTATTAAAATTTTCTTTACTACGGAAGAATAATAAGCATTTATTGGTTTATTTAAATTAATGCTTATTAAAAAAAGTGATTGGAATATTAAGAAAAATTGTTTTTCTCTCTCTTTAGATCCCTTGTGGGATAATTTATTATCCACCTTTTGCATTCATGCATTTCAAGTTATATAGTGAACTATATATAGGAAAGTATTAACTACAGGTCAGGCATTAGTTGGTTCAAATGCAGGTTTGGAAGAAATAGAGGTGAAATAAAGGAGGAGAGAGATATTATTTAATTCACAAGAAAAAGGAAAATAAAAAAAATCTATTATTATATATTTAAAATTGTTATAAATACACATTAAATTTAAAATATTATTTTTTATTAATTTAAAATACATCTCCCTTCTAAATCCTTCCACATATGGAGTAAGGATCTTGACTCCCTCCCTTCTTTCTTTTTCTAAAATATTGAATCAAACATATAAAGACTAAGAAAATTTTTTTCTATCCATTCTATTTTTTTTTCAGCCAAATAGTATGTTAAAGTATGCACAACTGAGCAACATATATGAGAAAGAATAAAAATAAACTCTTTTTGTGCATCTTTCTATAACAAATTTTTATAAACAACCACTTTTAAGAGTTACTTGTAAAAGCAAAACTACTTGTTATGTTACTTTTTTATTTAAAAAAAAAAAACTAAGAGGAAAGTATTAAAATTTTGTTATTAAACCACTAACATGAAACTTTTGTTAATTAACATGCTTCTTCAAGTTCAAGTAGTTTAAATGTAATTGTGACATATATTTTTTATCATTTTGTTTTGCTTGGACTTGTATCTTTAAGATTTGGGGGTCACTAGTTTGGGTTTGTGTTCTTTTTTCTTAATTTTTTTTATGTCACAATTTATATATATATATATATATATATATATATATTAATGTCTCTTCTAATATTTTATTTGTCCTCACACTGTCACAGAAACATACGTCAATCACTTTTTATTACATTGAAGAATTGCCTCCAAATTTTATTAAAATTACTTTAATGCCACCCAGTTTTATTACATAGAACAATTATGATGTGTATTTTTACTTTTAAATATTATGTTATATTTTTAATGCTATAAAATTTGTACATATTACCCCTACAACCTAAAAATTCTGGATCCGTCACTGTATATATATATATGTATATAAATTTTTTTAAAATATTGGATAGCTTACTAATTTTGTTTTTTAATTTGAGTTCGAAAGGAAAGTTATTGAAATTAAGTTTGGCTGACTTGTCTAGAGTGTTTTGGACAATTTAAACTTGAAGCTTACTTATATACTCTTTGATTCCTACACCCTATTGATGTAAGACTTCTTATTGTTTCAGTAAACACCTCTAAACATAGTTAAATATGATCTTAGACATTGATTAAGAAATTGAAAGTAAATATTTTTATTTTAAAATGTAATGATGTACTGACCTTTCATAATGTTTTGTTGTACTTTTAATATAAATTTTAATAAAAAAATTTATTTATAACCAATATTTTAAAAAATAAAAACTAGTTAACAGAACTCTTATAAATAATAATAAATCTTAGGGGATAAGAAACACGAAAAATTTAATCTAAAGTTCCAAAAATAATCTGTGTAGAATCCTAATACACAATTGAGTGGGTGTTCAGAACAGCGTTAAACGTAAAATAAACTTGCGTCAACTGGATGCTACAATAAATATAGCTTACAAGTTAACGTCAAAATGTAACGTGATATCAAACAAACGCATAATAAGAGTCTAGAAAGAGATTAAATTCATTAACTTCACCTATCAGATACTATATTGTATGTATTTTTGCTAATATTCAACTTTAACGACCATGTATCCAAATATATGCAAATAAAAATCATGATACATGGACATTAAAACAATCATTTGTTTCGCTGACCATATAGGTAGAAAATCTTATTTAACGTGAGGTCAGGTATCAGTCTATGCTGACATATACTGTCATGATAATAAACAAATGCATGATAGGATACATTAAATTTGATAGAATCTTATCAATTCGAATATCCAAAAATAATAAATAAGAAGACATTTGAGCTTGGATGAGGGTTACATTTTCCCCACCACAATGTTGTCTACGAGAAGTTCGTAGTTGAGACTTGCTGAATTTAAATAAGAAACATGTAATATTTAACAATCAAAATAATAGTGACTGGTAGCTCTACATGTACAATCTATAAAGTTGCTATTAAGTTCAAGGAATAGTTGTCAAAATTGACAGCGCTATTCAGCTGGCTAAAATGGAAAACAAAATTGAATCACACAATTCGAGTGTCACCCTTGAATGTTTCTAAATACTTCTATTTATTTGCGTCAATGAATTCTCTGTATTCTCTCTTCATTTTGACTCCTGAGACAGTCCTGCAAAAACAGTGTACAACCAACCACCAACAGTCAAGAACTAGCAAGAATATCCTTGAAGGAAGTCCATTACAGTGGCCACTCAGTCTCTAAATATTAAAGATGGCACCTAACATCAATAGCTATTAAGGTTCATTTGGTGAACATAATAGGAAAGAAAATGATAGGTTATGAGAATTGGATAAAAACATGATAGAATAAGAGTAGTATAGACTCTTATTTTATATTTAATACATATCAAGATAATGAACCGAATACAATGTGTTATCCTATCTTATCTATTTGTAACCCAGTCCCCTCCCCCCACAGGACAAAGTTTAATTAGAGAAAAGGATAACATAAGCTTATAAGAACAGACTTATCATATCCTGTTATTTAAATAAACATCGAAAATACGATAGGATGGGATGAGATAGGATCCTGTTCTCTCATGTCTTGGGGATAACATAATATAAAAACAAGCCTGAATCCTGAATCATATATTTAGTATAGATGATAAATAATAGAAGGGGGAAGATCAAATATTTGCTTACTTGAGCATCTCCTTGTTTTTAAAATACTGCACACATGGAGTACCCATTATTCCAGCCGCTTCTGCTATTTCTGGATCTTCCTCTATATCAATTTCAACAAAATGTACATTCTGATCAAATTCATCGATCACCTGTAATGGGATATGTTTTAGAAAATATTAATAAAATCATTTACTGTTCAAGGTTGAAAATAGAAGACAATATACATGGAATGGAAAGTACTTTTATTTAGTTCCTATGCTTATCAGTATTACTGCTATTCTCTTAAAAATCACTATTGCCAGTATCACACTTCAAGCAATATCATCTGGCTACTCTCAGGATGAGCACACAGAAAGTTGATTTTTACTATGGCGTTCTTGTATGTAAATACATGTTAATACGAAATAACTTCAGCAAAGTACAAAACTGACAGCTGTGCAAGTGATATTGAGAATACTAAACATCTTGGTAGAACTGTTCACATTCTAAAGGGAGAACCTTTCTCACAAGCGGATGGACTAAAGATTATCATATTTGATTGATCGGTACACATTGACATAAATTAACTGAATTTCTGTCATTGGCATTGCTAAAGTGCAATTTAGAAAGCTGACACGGAATAAACCAAGTTAAGAAAAGACCATATTGGTGTAATTCAAGCAGAGGTTTTGACTTTTGACAGACCAATCCTACATATAAAACCTTGAACTCTGTAACTACAACAACTAGCTTTGGTGGTGTGGTTTTCTCAAGATTCTTATCAGATTTATACCTTCCACTTGAAGATTACAAAACAATCTTCTTAGCTTCATTTTGTTTATTAGCTAATATCTATGTTAGAGTGGCTTTTCTCTATTGACATTCAAAAAGGTTTGGCTTTTACGTTCCTTGACATCTTTTAAGGATATCTTATTTGCTTCTGTTAGGTCTTTCTTCTTTCTCTTCTATTAGAGTGTTTATTAAGAAAATCATAATGATGTGCATTCATCTCAATGCATCATGCAGTGTAGTTGATTTTTCTTTCCTTTTTTGTTATGGAAAAAGTTTCTGAGCTATATTGCAAGACCACCACGTTAAGACAAAATTGCGTAATCATTCCTAGTAAGTGCTTATTTATTCATGTCACGGGCTGATGGTAACTACAGGATCATGACATTAACATAAATTTCCCTTTTCTCACATACCTTACTAAGGATTGGCTTCAGAGTCCTACATGGACCGCACGTTGGTGATGTATATAATACACATATAAGCCTTGGACTCTCGTGGTACAATTTTCGTAGAGCATACTGTAAAGAGGAAATCACACCAGAGAAGAAATATAATATAATACAGACCAAAGAATTAAATAAAAAAGAAAGTAATTGAACATAATAAATGCGATGACTTAATACCTGACCCTTATGCTTTGTTAGTGTAATGTCAAAGCCCTCTTGAACATCCCTGTCTGTTAGTTCCTTCTTAACCTCTTCAGTTTTGGGCTGTTACAAGTAATTAAATTGGAAGGTTGAGATTCATATTGGAATATATTGCATGAAGCTGTAAACCACCTAATTTAATTTAAAGTAAATTCCTTATTATTAGTAATAACTATTTAGTATATTACTATTTACTAGCACCAGCATGATTCCAGCTATAAGAGTTTAACTTAAAACACTTATGGCCAAAAGAGAGACAGCCGCGTATCACTAGATACATATATTAGGAGTCAATTGCATGCTGATGAGGTGAGAGAAGCCAGTAACATTGCTCATAGACAATAATCCCATTCCAATTTATTTCAGCTCAAAAGCCAACTGAGAACCACTATTAACATTTCCCACCTAAAAAATGTTAACAGATCTCCAATGAGGATATCCTACATTGGGAAGAATAAGAGGGACTGCAGGGAATTAGAACCTTAAGCTGTTATTAATAGAAGTAACAGAATAGCTGTAGCAACTTTTTAGTAAACAGTTGCTAATGTACAGAGAGTAAGGCACCTAGGAGAGTAATTGGAGGGTGTTGATAGTTTTGGAAGGGAGAGGGGTCCAGGTGACCAGGTCTCATGAATACCTGGGAGAGGAGTGCTGTGCTATGTTCTACACTGCTATTGATATTTGTTCAGCATTGAGTTGATACCAATTCAGAGATTATTTTATCAATAAAGATTCCTTTACTTCACATCAATTTCAGTCCCATTCTATTAACAAAATTTTAAGGAACTTGGTAAAGTAGATTGTATGATTAACTTCGTTATCAAATATACATAGAATCATAAATACACTATCTTTATTTTGTAAATTTATCCAATTTATGGAAAAAATAAGTTTTACAAACAAATCTTGCTAAAATTGCATATATCTTCAAAGGAATGTAAAAGAATTAAGAACATGAATAATAAATATATAACAAATGATTCTGCAGTGTTATATACCAAAAGGACAATAAAGGAAAATAAAATTGGAGTTCTTTCAAGTCAAATACCTGATGGAATTCAATAAGAAGATTGTTGCTCACAAGATATCTCTCAACTGATAAAGCAGCAATGCATCCAGATCCAGCAGCAGTTATGGCTTGCCTCCATTCGTGGTCCTATGAGAATAAGAAATAATCTTTATAAAGATACTTACAAGTTCCAACAGTTACTTCTTTTCTTCAAACAGGGTAATATCAAATCCCAAGGTAAATTCAGACAATCATAAATTTGCATAGTTCAGAGTCATATGCTCAACACAAATATTAGCAGAAATTGTAATTGAATTAATTGCATTTTTCATACAAGGCAACATCAAATTCTAAGATAAATTGAAACAACAAACTTTCAATAAATTTGCATAGTTCAGAGTCATATGCTCAGTGTAAATACTAACAGCAATTGTAATTGAATTAAGAAGGATAAGGGTCCAAATTCTACCGCTAAAATGACATTTCAATAAGTTTAAATGAAGATGACACAAACAAATAGTACAACAAAGTCTTATCTCATTACGTGGAGTTGGCTACATGGACTAAATGATGCTATTGTGCTATTCCAATGATTGCTAAAAACAAAATGGCACAATATATATTAATAAGAAGTTGTACATTATTGTAGACATTATAGTGCTGATTTTAATCTGCTAGAACAATCAACTGCACAAGCAGAAGGCATGGAATAGGTTACCTGCACATCTCCAGCAGCAAATACACCTTCAACTGAGGTTCTTGCAGTGCCCTCCTGAACTTGTACATAGCCAGAGGGGTCAAGTTCAACTTGTCCTTTTAACAGTTGGGTATTTGGTGAATGCCCTATGCCATAAAATAGACCTTTTGCCTCAAGCACGGATTCCTCCCCATTATCAACATTTCGAACTAAAATGCCAGACATCTGTCCTTTTGTGTTGCTTACAAGGTCCACAGCCTCTGTACTGAAGTGCACAGTGACATTGGGATTGTCAAACACTCTGAAACATTCGTGATAATCAACCTGTTAAACAAACATTCAGGGAGTTGAAAACTCACATACAAAAATGTTTATTAGTAGATAATTCACCATCATAAAGAAAATCTCCACCTAAACACAAAGTAAAAAGGAAGACAACAAAAGAAGATAATAATAGAAGCTTTGTTTTTTTCTCTTTCCAATACAAAATAACAGCGTTAAGCAACTTGTTGTGTATCTAGAGTCTAGAGAATGCTCAAAATGCCCAAAAGAAGGTTCACTTTAATTTCTTCTTTAAAACACTTTTTAAGTTTTGGACCAATTAAAGCTTTATTTTTAATTGGATATTTTCAGCATCCAAAATCTTCATGTTCAGCAAGGAAAAATTGACTACGATGTCAAAGACAAAGCAGGAAATTTTCATCATGACAAAAGTAAATGCACTTTGCTCACTTAATGATGGTATTAGAATACAGATATATAATCCCATAGCATGAGTTCATAATCCACTATGGAGTGATAATTTTGACAATAAATTCAATATGTTCTAGTATTTGGCCAATAATGTAAGACCTCATGTCCCAAATAAATTGCTTCTCTTTCCTGCATGAAAATGTTACTATAGCATAATACATTTATTTTCCAAGTCTGTAGGAACTACAGACACAATGACAAATATCATCAAACAATAATACCACACTTGTTATTCAATGCTGCATTTTGCAAGAGGGTGCAACTGATTAGGTAATGCATCCTTGTTTATATATTTTGAGTGGATATAGCAAGTGAGAAGTGTGGTTTAACTTAAGCAAGAAGATAACTGTGATCAAACATGCCATGTTCTTAGGATAAATATAGTTTCAGATAACACTATAAAGCAATGCACAAGCAAACCTCAATCTAGAAAATGTTTTCCAAGTTAATTATAGTCATAAAGAAAGTTGAACTTGTTCGCCAAAAGGCTGACAAACTATTGTTGACATCCAATACAAATTATTGACATAAGCAAAGAATGCCTTTATTCTCTTATTGGATGAAAAACACTGATCATTATGCAAAAGAAATGGAAGAAAATAACCCAAAAAGGAAATCTTTATTAAAAAATGAAGCAAAATAAAGAAAACAGTATTTTATAAGTTGCATAACCTCAATTAAACTTGAGGCCGTAAATAAAGGACATATTATACCTAATAATACAAATATAAGGTTTCCGTGATAGAGAACCAGACCACAGTCGAATAGTTTAAAAGATTGATCCAAAAAAGTTTCTTTAAAGCTCTATCTTTCCACAGGAGTAATGAGTCATGACTATGTCTCTGTTTTTGTGAGCGAGTGAATGAGAGAGAGAGTTAGTTGAGAAACTAAAAGGTATACTGACAGTCAAAGAGTTTAAAAGACTGATCCAAAAAAGTTTCGTTAAAACTCTATCTTTCCACAGGAGTAATAACAGTGTCTCTGATTTTGTGTGTGAGTGAGAGAGAGTTGACTAAAAGGTATACGCTACTACATTATTATGTGTATACGAGTAGGTGATTATCTAAGAAACTTCAATTTATAGATTGTAATTGATAGGATCAGATTATTCACATGCAAGATCATTACAAATTTTAATATACATTGCAGAGTTAGCTGTTCCTTAACAACCTCAGTAAAGCATTGGGAAATTTTAATCAGACACACCTATCTTGCATAGCTTTGGAAGCCCTGAGTTGGTCCCGACGTACAAGTAAGTGCACATGGCGAGCATATTTTGTCAGGTATAATGCTTCTTCTGTAGCCGTATCGCCCCCTCCAATAACAGCAAGAACTTGACCCTTAAATAGAGGGGATGCTCCATCACATATTGCACAAGCACTAATTCCTCGGCTCCAAAATTCTTCTTCTCGGGGTAGCCTTAGTCGTTTTGCAGTAGCTCCGGTAGCAAAAATGACAGTATGGGACTTAACCTGAATTATAATATAATCAACAAAACCAGATGTAACTACCACAACTATTTCTCTTCCAAAGAAACACAACTAGAAGATAAGTAATAGCAATAATTTCAGAAGATAATCTATATTTCCACTGAGTTTCAGCACCCATATTATGAAGCAAAAAAACTCAATATATTAATTTCTAAATAAAAGCTATTACCAATTTGCATTAATTTAAATCCATAAAAGAAGAACATTACAACACAAATTCAAAGAACCAATTAAAATAAAAGATAAAACCTTGAAGCTTCAGAGATATCATCAATATCTATGCAATCATGGAATTGTAAATCAGCTTGCTGCTACTGAATATATCACCTTACGTTCACTACTTTGTACAGTAAAAGGACTACTTTTCACATCAATAGCTTCAACATCTTCCTGATACAATTCTGCTCCCCAGCGCTCAGCTTGCCGTCGCATCCTAGATAAGTAGAAATGTGAGAACTCAAAGGTTATGCGAGTAAAACGAACTACAAAGCGTTACAACAAGATTTCACTTTAGTTTTGAATACCTGTCCATCAGATCAGGTCCAGTTATGCCATCTGGAAATCCTGGAAAATTCTCCACTTCAGTTGTAGTCATCAACTGTCCCCCAGGGACACCACCAGCTTGGTACCCCTCAAACACGAGAGGTTTCAAATTGGCACGCGCTGCATATATTGCAGCCGTGTATCCTGCAGGGCCCGAACCTATAATTACCACATTCTCAACCCCTTTTCCTGCAAGAAGAAAAAAGATGCCACCGTCAATTTTACTTATCTATCAATAGCAAAAGAAATACCAATAACAAGTACTACATTGACATACATTGAGAACAAACTCAGAACCCACCAATAGTTGCATTCTCAGTATTACTAATAAGGCATCAGTATTATGATTAGAGAAAAAATAAAACCACCTTACAGTATCATTAAAACAACACCTGCCAGGAGGTCAGCACTAGCTTTAGGCTAATAGAACTGGATTAGCCAAATAACCAAAAAATTAAAATAATAATAATAATAATAATAATAATAATACAAACTCCATTATTCACAAAGACAAGCCATGACGCCAATTCAACAATCACATAATCCAAACTTCTCACTATAAAACCCACAATAATCTTCCAAACTCCAGCACATTTTTACCTTTGTGGCTCACAACACATCCATTAACGAATCAACAAACCAATGTCTTAACCGCAAAGGAAGATAGTTAAGGCATTAACAAACATTATCAACACAAATTCTTGATAACCAAATTACAGATAATTGGAAAAAGTAGTTGCGGCGAGTGAGACCTGGCGAGGCCACGGAGGAGGAGGCGGCGACTCGGAGGGGGCGAGTGCGGAGGGGGCGTCGCGAGTTGAAGAGGAAGAGACGATGCGGCGGCGGAGAAAATGCGACGGACGAGAGAGTGGCGACGGTGGTGACTCGGTGAGTCGGGACTCGGAGTCCTATCTTGGAAGTAGCCATTGGTTTCTTTCAGACCATACAATGTGCGGAGTTGGAGTGAGCGAGTAAGACCAAAACAGTTAGAGCGGCTTCTCTTATGTTTTTCTCTTCTGGTTATTGGGGTGTGCGCCACACGCGCTCTAACCATATCACTTCGCTGCAACATTGCCTCCATCGCACTTCAATTTTTTTATTCAATATCTATCGTAAAACTATTTTACAAAAATTTATGATGTTACAAAGATATACGTTATTCGTAATTTTTAATATATATTTACTTATCAAAATTATAATTAAAGTTTTCATGTAAAAAACACTAGTAATTAAGTTCAAATTCATAAAAATATACTTGTGTTAAATATTTGAATAAATAATTTTATCATTTATAACAATTCTATCTTACTTAAACATAATTAATTTAATTTTAGTAAAAAATATTTTTATTTTATTAAAAATAAAATATATTTTTGTTGGTTATAATAGTAAACTTTTAAAAATTTTAGTTTTTAAGATTTTAAAATTAATGTTTAATTTTGAAAAATAATTTATTTTATTTTTTATTATTTTTTATTAACATAAATTCAAATGAATATATTTAATAAAATTAAGCATTAACAAAATATTCTAAAAATACCTTATTTATATAATTTTAATGACTGATGTGATTTTATTTATAGGTAAATAATTATGTATCTTCCTGCATTTTAAATTTGACATTTTTATAAAATTTACCACACTATTATAACATAATGTTAATTAACTTTTGTAAGATAATATTTAAAGAATTGTATTTATATACAAATAGAGAAATTAAAAGATTGTTTAGGAAAAATAAAAAGATAAATTTTATATTTTAAATAAATATATTTAAAATTAATATTTTTAAAATAAAAAATATAAATTACTATATTAACATAAATTTAATATACTAATTATATATTTATCATTGTAAATAAAATATAACTCTTCTAATTTAAAATTAAAAGATACTTTCCTTCTTCTCTTTTTTTCTAAAACTCTTTTTCAAACGTATAAACTGATATTGCACAAAATAATCATAACTAAAAATAGTTTTAAAGTTAATTATATTACTATTTTTTTATTTTACTGTTAATTTTGAATGGAACTCAGGTAAAAAGAAATAAGTTAACTTAAAAATTAATGAAACTGAGAAAGGGAAGAATGAGTTTGTGATCAAATTATATATAAACACAGAGATAATAACAAATTCATAATAAAAAAATTATAATTAAAAATTACTAAGAGTATGTTTGATTTTATTTTTAAAAATAGTTTTAAATTTTTAAAAATAAAATATAGTACAAATTTATACTACATTTTATTTTTAAATATTAAAAATTATTTTCAAAAATAAAATCAAATAAGCTCTAAGAGTTTCTTACGATACTATTTTTCTTTACAGTAGCAATAGTAAAATATTTATTTACAAGTATCTATACCTTTGAGTTTATAGAAAGATTACAATTATTAACTTGAGCTTTTTAATTATAAATATCAATATCAATTAGCTTATAAAAAATGCAAATATTAATTATATGAATGTAAATAAATATTTTTATTATTAATATATGGAATAAGATTTATTTTTAAAGTTAATTCCTTTTAATAATTATTTATTTGCAAATTTTAGAAAATCTAACTATAAAATTTAAATTCTATAACTAAAATTAAAAAATAATATATATTTATGGGAATAATTTAAAATATACATTTATTATTAATATATTCCATAATATATATATATATAGTTAAAAAAATACATCATTTTATTTTCTAAAATTTGATTTAAAATAATTATACAATGTTGAAAGGTAAAAAAATAAAATGATAAAAAAATTAATGCAGATAATAAAATTAATTGTTGAAAAATTTTAAAAATTAAAGAAAATTTCCTATGATAATTATTGTGGAAACACATTAATATTATTATAGATAAGTATAGCTAACTTGATTGATAAGAACGAGTATTTACTATAAAATTAAATCTTAAAATAATAACAAAAAAATTTCCTGAGATCAAATTCAATATCTGTATAAGTTGGATTAATAATTTTTTAATTATACTATTAAATAATTTTTAAATTGTATTATTTTATTTTAAATTTATCCATTAGATATATTATAAGTTTTTATTTATATTTATAAAACTTTAAATTAATCTAAAATTATTTAATATTTTATTCATATATATTAAATTTAATATAATATATAATTTTAAAATATATACAAATAATAATTTCTTTTTAGATTCTTATAGTTGTTTAATTAAAAAATATGCACAATAAATAAAGTAATATATAATTATAATTCAATAATTATATCAGCAAAAATAATATTTTGTATAAAATTATTAATATTATTTGATTATTGATATTACTTACACTTATATAATTTAATATTTAACAAAATATTTAATAATAAAAACCTTTAATCTTGTGTTTATATTTAATAACATCTACAAATTGTGTGAGCTAAGAGTATTTCTATTACAAATATCATATACTTTTACTTCATTTGTTTTACATTATTATAATTTTTAATAAATTTTTAGAAATTTATCTCTTGATACATTAAAAAAAATATAATATTTGTATATTAAACCTGAATACTTTATTCATAGTATTCATTTAGTTTAATATTTGTATGTTTAATTATAATATTTACATTTAGATTTATCAAAGATGAGAAGTAAGTATTTAAAAAGTTAGGTTATTTATGATTTGAAATATGAAATGTTTGATTGATGGCAAAAAAAATAAAATTTTGAGTATAAAAAGATAAAAAAAAAAAAAGAAAAAGGAAGAAGTGTTGGAGATAAGTTTAGAAATTTTTTTAAAAAAATAATGAACAATAATAATAGTATATATGACATAAAATGATAAAAATTTTTAGCAGAGTTAAATTTTTAATGAAAAATGACCTATTTAAAATTTTTGTAAAATTTAAGAAATTAAAAAAATAGAGGATGAAAATATTAATTTTGTCTATTAATAATAAATATTATATTAAATAAATTGATAAGTTTTGAAATAATATAAATTAATATTGAAGTAAAATAAAAAATATTTAATGTTAAGAAAATTATTTGGCATGATAGAAAAAAACAATCTCCTACAAGTACACCTATTTTAAAAAATCACTAAAAATATTTTATTTAAGAATTAATAGTCAGTAATTATATTCATACTTTAAACAATTCTATAAATTTGAAAAATAATAATATTATAATTATTAATAATAAGTATTATATCATAATAAATAAAATTAAAGATAAATGCATGTCATGAAGGAAAATAAAATGTTAGTTTGTACTCTAATAAATTTTTATTATTTCTATTTAGTTACTAGATGAAGACACATTAATCTATATTTACATGAGCCAATTCTCTTAAGGATGGCGTTATGTTAAATTTTATAGATCATTTCAACTCCTTGCATTTTAAAATTAATCAATTTGTTTAGTCTTTCTACAATTTATTGTGAATGTTCTACTCTTCTCATTATTCAAATGTCATATAATATAATGTAAATAGAAGTACTTCTTATTGCTTGGTCAAATTTAATTAGACTTGATCACGTGTTGAGGAGTTGGAGTCTAAACAACTATGCATCAATTAAACAACTAAAGGGTATTTTTTTTAAGAATTGAGTGGCTATTTATCTCATTTGGTTACATTAATAAAAGTGCTATTCTTTTATTATTTCTTTTTCATTTACGAAAAACTTACTATTAGTGTCAATTCATGCACCTTATTAGTTTTTTTTATATGTACGATTCTATTTGTGTGTTTTTATTGGTAGTTTTAGTTAATGTACCTTTAAGATGTTTTTTTTCCGTTTATGAAAAAACTTATCACACATGCCTTTCTATATATATATATATATAAATGAAACTCTTCTAATCATTATAAAAAAAATACTCTAGTCCTTTATTAAAAAAAAAAAAGAAGCATAATAAGCATGTTAAAAAGAGATATAATGTACAAAGTGGTGGGTCTATATTTACAAAAGAACATGTTAAAAAAAATGATACTACACTTTATCTAAGTATTATTATATAATAAAGTTTATACTTTTACATTTATTTCATATTTTTTATTAAATAAAAAAACATATTTTGAACTTTACCAGTAACTTTTCATAAGCCTAAGGAAAAGGTAAATAGATTGTTGAGTAAAGAATAAGAAAATATCATTATATTATTCAAGTTAAATTATGTTGTAAATATAAATTTTATTTTTTCAAAAATGTCAAAATCAAATTGCTGAGAGAAAATCTTCAAAGTAAAAACACCCAACAAAAGGTGTTTAAGCCGTGAAACCTTCTTTTATCTCTATGAATGGTGTATTATAAGAGAAAAGTTATTTAATTGATTTTTACATTTCAAGCTCTTGTTACTGAATTTCAAAAACAAAATGTTGAATAAGAAATTTTAAAGAAAAAAATAGAAGAATAAAAACAAAAATTATAAAGACTCACGTTGCATTATAGTACAACATCAGTGTTTGCACCTATAGAGGAAAATAATAATAACAACATTCAAGAAATAGGTGAAGAAGATATAAAATATCGTAATAACTCATTCCCTTAATTGATCTTATTTTAAACTTATTAGTTATCACTTTTCATTTTTTGTGGTTATATTTTTAATTTAATATTGTGATTTGTATAGTAAATTGTATTATCATTTGAATACCTACGTGACTATATTACATTTAATTAAATTTTCAGGATTTTAAAATATGATATTTTGCATTGTACAAAATATTTATAGGAATTGTTAAATCTAGAAGAAAAATTAAAAATGATTGTATTAAATTTAGAAACGAGATTAAAGATGAAATTTAAGACAAAATTTATATTTTTTAAGGATGAAATAACTTCCTATTAAAAGATAGATATAAAAACATAAATATGTAAATATGATGATGATCAACATCTAATTGAAGCATGATGATCAAGCGAATTATACTTTACAACCTAAAATAGCTTTCATATTCTTCATGGGTAAAAACACTAATATAGAAGTAATCTTATCTCATGCTCCTTTACTATTCTTGTTTCTTCTACATTTTTTGCTATAAAACAAAGTATCATTACAATTGCAATACCTGTAATAAAATTCTTAAATTCCTTTGACTGTACTATTGTGCATTATTGTAGATCATGGGTTGTAACATAGGAAATACACTTTTTTCCTTGATGGCAATTGCTACTACTATTTTGGCCGCTTCTAGTTTTGCTATTAGCATCCTTTTAACTTTGCCTCTCTTAGTCATGTACATAAAATTTCTCTTTTGACAAGGGCAGTGGGCTAACCAAACAATTCAAGATCCCTATGATTGTCATTGACAAACCAGGGTCTAATGACAGGGGTGAGTTCACCAATCTTTTTATAACCATTTTTTTTTATATAATTGTAGTCATCCATTCTTACTATTTTCACAAATCATATACGATTTTTCTTGTAAAAAATTAATGTCTTTTTAGAAAAGATGATTTTACTGATTTCTTTGTTTCAACATCTTTTTCTAACTTTAAACTTTCTTAATTCTGGTTCTTGACTCAAAATGTGAACTTGTACCTTTTGTATTCTCTCCTTTTCCTTTATGATGACAATCAAAGAAGGTCTAGTAAAAATAAAAGCTTAAAGACATTGAGAAGATTTTAAAAAACAATGACAATGGTAAAGATAAAGAGGATAAAGAGAAATTTAAAGAAAATAGTTGTTGTCCTATTTGAAAGTAGACCTAATTCAAAGTTAAGAACTCAAGATAATTAATTATATATGATTAAAAAATTTGGACTCCAATGGGTTTCATTAGAATTTAATTATTATGTTTAGTTTAATTATTTTAATGTTAGTTATTAATTACTTTAAGATTTTATTTAGGATGAAAAAACACATTGTTTTATTCGGTTTATTTGGATTTGGGTTTGTTAGCACAAGAAGCCCATTATGATTATATTTGTATTGTATTGGTTTATGAGCATTAGACATATATAAGTTCTTATAAATACACTTTTAATTAGTTTTAAATGTAATTTGAAATTAAACACTCTTTTTGAGAGCATGTGACTTTAGGTTCTTAAGTGAATTAATTTTCTTTGATCTTATTAAGAGGCCGATACTCTTGTGGCAGTTGTTTCTTTATTTTATCAATTTTACGATTGTGGCACCATCTTCTTTATTTCTATTTTTATTTTTATTATTATTTTTTATTGTTAAAGATTTAGCAAGTGTACCAAGTTTTTTATGTAATATAAAAATAAGGTTGTCATACCCACAAGAATTGATAGATATATCAATAATTTTTATTATTATATATAAAATTCTTAATTAAAAGCATGTAAGTATTTGTAATTTGGTTATCAATTAAACTTGTAATTATCTAGAACACAAACTAAATTTTAGTGAAAAAAGGGTTATGAGTTGGGTTAGGATTGAATTTCATTATTCTTTTCCTTTTTGATGATCAAATAATTAAGTACAAATATATAAACGTAGATGCACTCTTTCAATGCAGCTGTTTAGTGTCCCTAGCAAATTAATAAATTCGTATTTTCAAATTTTTAATAAAATATTATTTCACAACAAAAATAACACAGCAAACTTAACGATAAACGTCACTTCCCTCGTTCAAGGAAAAGAGAATTGTGTTTTCACCTGTTATCTTACTTAGGGGTAGTAGTGTTCACATTCGTCGTTCAATTTTGTTGTGATGCGTTTTATGATGCCCAAGGGAACTAAACTCCAAATAGGTGGTTGTTGGGGTTTTATACTATTATTTAATCATTAATTGATATTTAAATTAAAATGATTAATTCTTACAATAATTATATTTAAAATCATTTCTAATTAATTATAATATAATTTTATATGTATATCAAATAAATTAATAAATTAAAATCATATATATTTAAAATAAATGTAAGTCTTTAAATAAAAATAAATATATAAGATTGAAATATAAAAATAGAAATAATTATTATTATTTATTTAAATAAGCTAACTTGTTAAGTAAAAACTTACGGACACACATTAATAATATAACGTACGTCTTCCAATATACACCATAGAAGTTTTATTTTTCACAACATCATAGAGTTAGTTATATCAATAGAAGTTTTATTTTTCATATTCAAAATTTAAAATCAAAATCAATTGGCATATATTTTTCTCTTATCTTAATTAACTTCACTAACTTCTTACATAATTATCTTATAATATGCTCACCTTTTATTTATAGCAAAATTTTGAAACATAAAATGTTTAGTAAATATTATTTTAATGAATTTGTTAGTCTAAAATTAAAAAAAAAAAAGTTAGTCATAACTTTATGAGTTTTGTTAATCTTATCTTTTAGAGTTGAAAATAAGCAACTAATAATAATAAAATTTATTAAAAAGAGAAGTATTTATTATATTTTTATAACTTTAATACAATAATTATGTACTTTTTTCATAAAAAGTTTCTATTTATGGATGCTTAAACTCAGCCTTAAGCCTTAAGAGTTATGGTTAACAAAACCTTAATTTTTTATCCAAAATAAAATAAAAAAAAGTTAGTCACCTGCATTCCCATAACTTTATAATTTCCAAGACATTTATTACTAACTTGACCGTAGTTTTCAATTTTCTCATCCAAATTTGATTCATGACAAGTTACTATGGTCATTGTGATTCTAAATTGTTAATATAACATTTGTTCACAACCCTTTATTGAGGAGGTTAATTTCAACTCAAAAATATTTCAACATTTTACACAATAAGATGTTCTTCATTGGAGTATCTAAAACTATTATCTATTAACATATTTCTAAATTATAAGGGATTTAATCTTTAAATTTTGTTTGGGAGTTAGTTTTTGAAAGTAAAAGAAGGAGAAAACTTTCATAACATTTATCTTTGTTTAAGACTTTTTAAATGAGAAATGAAAGTTTATAAATCATTCAAAATATTTTTAATTTTATATTTGTAAGTTCTCTTAATTTTGAAGATTTTATATTTATCATTATTCGTTTTTCTCTTTCTCCTTTCTTCTCTTACCTTTTAAACTGTTAAACAAAATTGTAAGTAATATAAAACTCTTGCGAGAAAAGGACAATTTTGCACTCTTTATCATCTATAAAAAAATTCTCAAAATTTCACATATTTTTTTTAAAAATTAAACTTGCTTGTCACTTACCAACAAACATAAGTAAATAGTTAACCTTTGACAAAGTTGCAAAATTAACTTAATGAAAGTATGCCCAAAATAGTACTAATTAATTGCAATAAGGGGAAAAAAGAAGAAAATTAATAGCACTCATTTGCGTTGGCACGCGCGTGTAGTACAACAGTCAGTTTCAATGGAAGAAATTTTAAATGAGGAATAACGCAAAAGTCTAATAAAGTCGCTTCTTCCGTAGAAAACCTCAAAGCTTTTATAGATTACAATGTTGGAACAAATCAAACTCAACTACAAGAGAAACCCTTCGATGGAGGAATTTGTTCTTAAGATATTGAAATAATCATATAGAAAGCTTCAGCATACCTAAACCACTTAAACTAACTTCATTTCCCTATAAAATATCTGTTTTTATCAACATACCCATCGAAAACACTTACCCACTAAATTAATCTCAACTAAGTTATGATATGCTATCAACATAATGAAAATTTATTGCAATACTTGCATATAAATTGATAATTTAACTTTACGTATAAAAAAATATCAAATTGTTAAAATCACAATCATAAATTTAAATTATTATAATTTTAACTTCATCTTATGAAGGAATAGTTTTGATTCATGTGAACTTCACCAACCCTGCTAGCGTCTCTTTTAATTTTCAACTCACTAGTGTTCAAACAATTTGATATCCTATTTTATTGGGTTTTCATCATTTTGATTCAGATGTAGCAATCAAATTAGTCAAGTTATATGCGACCTTGTCGAGTTTAAATTATTTATTGACTTATGCGACATATTGACTAACAATACAGGAAATCTTGTTGTGCTATAAGCAAAACTAATAGAGTAAAATGCATTGTGACTATTATTTTATGTTACTTTGTGGTACAATTTTTTTATATCCATAGGCTATAAATAATAACTCTCAATCCTAAACCACATAATATAATCAATATCGAATAATTATTAAGTTGGAAAGGAATATATAGGACATGTCATGAAACGTATGATTATATAAAGAGGGGTAGGCTTAGTGAATACGTTTCAACTATTTCTTCATCAAGAGAGAAAGGCGAACAAGGAAAAGCTCTTGCATTTCTCATGAACAGTGGAGCAGTGTTGGGATTGGGAGTTCTTAACCGCTCTTCCTCTCTTCAGCCTCTGAATATTTTTAATCACTACCACCCCAATATTCTCCTTCTTGTATCTCCTCTGAAATCAAACTCTTAGACAACAAACCAAAGCATTCGCATAGGGGAAACACCAAACTACAAAAAGGGATTATAGAAAGAAGAAAAGGGTTGAGATTATGCAAATGGAGGGGGAAAATGATAGAGAGTTGTTGGAATATGTAAGGAAACCCAATACTCCACCACCGTTTTTGTTGAAGACCTATATGTTGGTCGAAGATCCTTCCACCAATGATGTTGTGTCGTGGAATGGTGATGGGACAACGTTCGTGGTGTTGCAACCGGTGGAGTTTGCACGTGATCTACTCCCAACTCTCTTCAAGCATAGCAACTTCTCTAGCTTCGTTCGGCAGCTAAATACCTATGTACGTATATTGATTTATGAATACATAGCATATGTTTTTATGGTATGTTAATTATAAATAGTAATAATTTTAGCTACGTAAAGGGTTACTTACAAATAACTGATGGATGAATTGGATAAAACTGAAACGAAGGTAGCTATCCATGTTTGGTGAATAAGTTGATCACTGTAGAAGTTTTTATCATAAGAAAAAAAAAAGATTAGTTTTGCTTTCATGAGTTCTTGATGATGGAAACGTGTTAACTTCATTGTTTGACCTGATTAGGATTTAGTATCTTTAAAAATGGATGAAAATTTTGATTTGAGAACCATTCATTATATATATATATATATATACGAAGAAAGATCTTCTTACATCAGTATAAGTCTAAAAATTTTTAGATATAATTTAAACTACTTTTTATTTAATTTAAATCTAACGGATTATAATTTATTATTTTATTAATTATTAGATTTAAATTAAATAAAAAATTTAAATTAAGTGTAAGAGTTTTTAGACTTATACTTGTGTAAGAAGATCATATATATATATATATAAAATGGATGGCAAATATAGAATTTATATATCCGAATCAGTTTGAAAAATAATTATACAAAATTTCAAAATTGGTAGACCAATAAAGATCAAAATAAATTTTTCGAAAATAGAATGACGCCCGTAATTTTACCCAAAGAAAGTAGAGCATTTAGAAATTTCTAATCTCGTTATTATTTCAATTGCACTATTATATTCAATAGCTAACGATCAAGTTTTTCTGATAAATTTAGTGCTGGTTTAGTTAATACTTAGAATCAAGTTTTTATATATTATGGTACCCATTTTAATATAAATATTTTTGTTAAAATTATTTTATATACATTTTTAATTACATTTAACATTAATTTTATTAAAATTAATTTTACTCAAACTAAAAAAAAGGCACTAAGTATATCTTTTCATTTTTCATTCGAAAATAAGCGTCTAAGTAATATTAACAAGTAATCAAATCAAATAAAGGATCAATCTACATATTTGAGTGTTTAGAAATTCCACCAATCTTAATATGGGTGGGGTGTGTGATCATTAGAGATATTACACTCTCTTCATTCTTATAACCTTGTTTAACAAATATTTAAAATATAATTTCAAGCTCTAGGGATAATTGATTTGGTACACCAGTCATTAAAGAAAGTTGTTACCCCAAATTCAACTGATAACCTTTACTTTATAATTATAACTCAACATATTACCCATACCAACCAATTGAGTTATGCTAGTTGGAGTCAAGATGTACATTAAAGTTAGCATCTAGTTTGACTACTACCTAACAATTTTTTAAACTTTTGCTATTGACCGCTCATCTTTTCTAATTTGTTCATGGCTATTAAGTTATTGTTTCTGACACTGATTGAGTGATCAATATTTTGCCAGCGTTCTTGTTTGTTGGTTAAATCACTACAAAAATAAAAATCTCATATACTAATAATTTGTATAGAATTATTCTCTATTAATATAATCTTTATTTAACTAAATTTAATTATTAGTATAAACATTAAATATATATTAACAATATGATACATTAATTATACTAATAAATAATTTTAGTATTATAAAAATTAATATATGTTAAAAATATTATTTGTGTCTATTAATAAATACTCTACATAGTTCTATTTATAAAAAATAACTATAGTTATTTTTTTTTATTAAATATAAAAGCTCTTTCTGTACCGTTATTTATTCTAAAATTTATAGTAACAATATACACATAATATAGTAAATTTTTATTTAAAGTCATAAAATTTGATATAATTCAATGCATTAGCACTATTAAATGCTATAATTTTTAATAAAAATCTACAATATAACCTTTTATTGTATAGAATATTGCACAAGTTAAAAAAATTATTTATTGATCTAATATATAGAATATTAATTTAATAATTTAGTACTATAAGTATGTTTAAAATATATTATAAATTTATAATATATGATTTTGTTATTAATCTTGGTGAATTAATTATTTGTTTTAAGAAACGGAAAGAGCAATAAATTTTAATTATTTTTTTTATTTTAAACAAGTTTTTGTTAGTGTTAGAAAAAGATGGATGGAGTATGTGTATTAGAGATAATAAAATGCAGTGTAGTGGCTACCTGACCTAAACTCGAGCATCAATAAACAACGCAACGAATTGAGAAGCTTCTTTAGTGAAAAATAGAAAACATTGACAACCTATAGTATTGTAATTAATTGATAACAAACTTATCAACAATAATCATGAGTAGGATTTAATGTATATGAATAGTAAAAAAGCGAACAAAATGATTTGGTGTCAGCTATCTAATATTCTTAAGCATCCCTACCAAATCAATATTAACTAAAAGCCAAATTAATAACCGAATTAATATCATCTTTTAGTCATTCAAATAACAAAAGTGAATTAACTTTTTGCTTGCAAGGAGAACCCATTTTCATGTATAAGTTAGAGCCTTTTAGCCATGTAAGAGCATCACATCCTTTTTTATTTCTTATTAAAATAAAACTCTAATTTTAATTGATAAATAAGAAAAACAACGCACCAAGAAAACAATCGTACAAAATTTTCCCTTCGTTAGCTCCTAAAATGACATGCAACCACTCATTCATTATTATTACATTGCACACATAAATAGGGCTTTCGTAAAGTTGCAACAAATAGATGGGAGTTTTGCAACGAACGATTTAGGAAAGGTGAGAAGGACCTGCTATGCGAGATTCGGCGTAGAAAAGCTTGGGCCAGCAAGCAACAACAACCCACTATTGCACCAAACCAAGCCACACCCCAACAAGATTCTGATGACGATCACAGGTCCTCATCAGCCTCTTCGTGTTCGGGTTATGCCACTCTTGTAGACGAAAACAAGCGACTCAAGAAGCAGAATATGGTGTTGAACTCAGAGCTAAGAATCATGAAGAGGAAGTGTAGGGAACTGCTTGATTTGGTGGTCGAGTATACACATGCAAAAGAAGACGTGGAAGATGAGAGACCCATGTTATTTGGGGTGAGACTCCATCAAGGAGAGAAAGAGTTGAAGAAGAAGAGAGCTGAAATATGTGAAAGCACAAGCACTTTGCTATCCCAGTCATAATATATACATACACAAGTAAGCATAAGTTGATACTAATCTTAAAACTTGTATACATAACTTTTTATTTTATAAATGTTAAATTAACTAATTTAACCATTACTTTAAAGATTTTTTTTATTAAGTAAATTAATTTTATAAAATTTTAAAGCAAAATCAATTTTCACTTCATTATATTACTTTATTTTAATATATTATATATTTGTAAAATATAAATAAATATTAACTTTTGAATAACAATCATACAAATATTTAAATTGTGTCAAATTTAATATATATAATTATGAAAATAATATAAAATAATTTAATAATTGAATTAATAAATTAAATCTATGTGTTTGATGCTTTCCATGAAAGTCATGCTTTCCGTCAAATTTTAACGTTAAAATTAATTGATGGGGGCATTCACACACTTTAAAATCAAAGAAATATTTTTTGAATGATTTTAGGAGACAATTTAGGTTGTTCCTTTTTAAATTTAAGTAGGTTTTTGAGATGTGTATGTATAAAATAAAAGATAGAAATAAGTATATAAAATATCACATATGATATTAATTTTGAATTATTAAACCTTGGTTATATTGCATATATATATATACTAACTGGACACCTAGATGACTTAAATCTCAATATACTAATTTACATTTTCCATAAAATCATTTATGGCTTCTCTCAATATACACATAAATCAATATACACGACAATTTTTAATATATTTATATGATTTTTAAATTAATAAATTGTCCTTTCTTTTCCCTTAACTTCTTTTTATGTTATTTCATCTTTCTAGCTGTTTTATGAAGGAAAAGAAAAAAACTTTAAAAAATGGACGAATTTGAGATTGTCATTTTTTCACTTTAAACAACCAGTCAGAGAATGTTACTTTTAAACCGCATATATCGCTTTTCTAATTGGGAACAAGTGATGTAAATTCCACAAATCTCGTAGCAAGTGGAGTAAAGTGATAAAAGTGCCTAACCAATATTACATAATTCCTCTCCTTATTCTGTACATAACATTCCTTTGCTTAAAATGAAATTTGTCCAGCTTCATATACATGAGGTTTTATGGGAATTCTATGTTGTACAACCACGGTAATATTTTATCTTTCTCCGATCTCTAAAACCCGAATATAATACAAGCAAGCATAATTCAACCCACTGATTCCACACTGGCTCAGCACGTCAAAGTTCTAACGCTTATGTTGATGTTTGATACAAGCTCAGCTCTTCAACACTTGCCCCTTTCTTCTAAATTAGAAATTCGGATATCTAATCACTCCTCTGGCTGAAAATGGTGTACGTTGAACTGCTCTCAGTCTTTGTAACCTGCACACCAATCAACTTGTTCTTAGTAATGTGAATTTACAATAAGTAATTAATTACTCTCTTACCATATACGGTCATCTGGGATTGAAGGGAGATATATCAATTCCTGTAACTCATGATTTTGAACAATTACTGATCCTGCCACCTTGTTATCAGATAAAGTTTTAATGCCAAGCAGGTCGTTTTTCCTCTATGAATCATTAGATGATAATTAGAAAGTTTGGGTTCAAATGATCATTAATCATTCTCCAAGCAACAACGGAATCTCAAAATATTAGTTAGGTATTTAAAATTCAAATATCCGGCTATAAAGTGAAAAAAGTACCATTTCTGATAAATTCCAGAAACTTGTTGTTTTTGTGGCATAGAGCAGGTATTTAAACATGCAATCACCTGACTTAGAAAAAAAATTGTTCTGGCATTATTTAAATAAAGTTCTAACGTAGGCATTGATATTCATATACTAATGCAGATTATTTACTTATTTAATTGTGCTTTTCATCTTTATACTTTAATTTATGTACGATTTTTTAGTTTTTTTAAATTTTAGTTACTCATTTTTAGTTCTCATAATTTATGAATTGTTCAAATTATTTACTCTAAAGTTTCATCTAGTAATTAATAAAAATATAATAAAGATGTGATATCATCAATTTGTACATATTTAAAAAGTAAAAATATATAAAATAATCAAATAAAAATAAAAAGGCTTTAATTATGTTTTATAAATTTTATTGATTATTTTTATTTATATATTTTATATTTTTCTTTACTAATTTATAAAATCAATAACATGTCACATTTATTATATTTTTCTATATTATTAAATGAAATTTTGAGGTGAGACACTTAATTTCAATAATTGAAAAACTAGAACTAAAAAGAGGGCCAAAATTACATATAAGTGAAAGTATCGGAACTAAAAATATAATTAAGATTTATTTTATTTATTTTATTGAATTATTTTTATTTCATATTTGAATTTTATTTCTGATTCGACGAAAAATTCATTTTTGAATATTAGAAATTACTCGATTTATAATATGAATCATTATTTAAAGACTACTACTACGAACGGAATGCTTTTGAATTTTGACCTATTTGCAACAATGTTTTTGTAATCTGATTCCTCATAAAGTGAAGTACTTTAGCAATTATACCAACCTCGGCTACAGGGGAAAGGCCAGCAGGAAGTATAGGAACAAGAGGCGTCCAGAGAACAGGATCTACCAAGGGATCAACAGTACTGTAGGCTGTCAAAAGTGGAGCGGACAGTAACTGTGTCAATGGATAAACATTTCTTTGAAGAGGCAGTGATCCACTCATTCCCATTGCAATTTCAAGTGTTTCATTGCCACCATCATTGTTTGACGATTTCTCAGCTGCCCTGCCATGGTCCAACTTGTTTATGGTATGTTTATTTTCATTCTCATCATTATCTTTGCTTCTGTCCTGTCTCTTCGCTGCTTTCTCTTGCAAATTCTTGTAAGCAGCTGATTGTGACAAGATACTTAAAGAAGATACTGAAGAATGTTTTTGTTTTCTTCCTTTACAGGGCATGCCTAACTCTGGCAACTGGTATGGTTCTGACGTGTGGAATTTTTGTTCCAATGTTTTGAGCTCACAGCAAATATCTCCAGCAAAACCATGCTTTTTAACGTCTGAAAATCTTGCTGCACTATCCGGTTGTCGACTCTTATAGGACGCCCACCATTTGATGTAACTTGTTAAATCAATCTTTCTTTCTATGCAGAAACTACTAATATATTTTGTTTCTGCTGCTGAATCTTCACCTGCACTTTTAACATTGAGAAGTGGGTTTATCATGATCTTGCAGATAAAACAGGTGAAATTCAAAACTTACCCTTTTCCTTTCAATAGCCAAATGTGTTGTCCAAGTGAATTGTATAATTCTGTTCAATAGAACATAATTTAAACTTGAATTTGATTAGAACTTACCACAATATATACTATTGACGTAGTCAAATCCTGCCATACGACCATATTTTGGCTCCCATCGACTAATTTTGAGTACCACCGCATGCAAAAGGAAATGCAACATTGAACCATAAAATTCATATCCATGCATTGAATGACAGCCATGCTAGGTCACAGAGATATAGCAGAGTGGAAAAGGTCAAAATGTATTGATCAATGAAGAACTAGTTGTAATACAAACTCAGAGACTTGAGATGTGCATATTTTATAAGATAAATAAATATTAAATTGGCAGAAATTTCTGTACAAAGTAATATAGATGAGGTTTTGTGATAAACATCAAATTAATAACATAGTTTAATAACTGCCTAAAAAATTGCCAATGGTGTATGTATAACCTCAAATTGATTTCTTCCACCCGAAAAATTATCGAAGAAAAATAGCTATCCACACCTCTAAAAGCTCCTTTAAATGAAGTAGTGAGGACTAAGGAGTATTACAACCCAAAAAATGTGTGCCGAAAAAGCCCAACACCCCACAGCAAAACCCATTGACTAGTTTCCTAGTAGAGAATAAACAGCAATGAATGTAAAATTTTGTGTGCGCACATGTATATGCAGTTTAATTGCAATCATTTGGTATTCGTTTGACAGAATCACACCTGGAGAGTCCCCGGTATTTGGATAGTCCTCTTGAAAATCCACTGCTCTTCCTGCACAAAGCATCACAAATAAGCAGCAGGACAGTTTCATGCTAGAAAATATTCTGGTGCAGTATATACACACCGCCGTAAAGATGCTAGGTATTCCTCTCTTGAAACATTCTGCATTTCTTCAAGATCTCTTGCATAATCAGTCACCTGTAGCATACAGCTCAAACTTGATACAGAATTATCATAATTACCAGAAGAGAAGTGGTTTCCACTTTTACTACCAGCAGCACTAGAATTTTAGTGTCAACTGTCAAACCCTGGTTACCAACAAAACATTTCAATCTTACGCTAGTGATATCTTAGGAAAAGATGGTCTTACAAATGCAATCAACAAGCAATGTGTACTTTACCCTAGAAGCACCAATCCCAACTAACAATTGACTGGTTTTTAACTTCAAACTTATGCGATCTTGAAGCTTCTTTTGATATCAAAAAGTAAAGCAGGAAATAAGCAGACATCATTTTCACCCAGCAATATGAAATGACAAAGCACCAAACAACACAGAAGATTTGAACTGAAGCAATTATCTTACTGGAAAATTTATGAGAGCACTTGGACCCCAATATTTCAGAGCAGCAAGATCATATGCTCTAGCTGCTGCTTCTTCATCATCATATGCCCCTGTTTGATAGCCATCAGCAGCAAAAAATATCTTTATGAATGATGCAGCAAGTTCATTAAGAAACAGACAGAGAAAGGAAGCATCACATATCCAACTTACCCAAGTAAACTGGCATCATAAATGAATTGTTGTCCAATCAATCCATGCTCCACATAAAAACAGATAATGTAAGTTACTGTATGACATAGTTTCTTTTTTTTTCTTAGAATTCATATATATATATATATATATGTATGTAAAGAATTATATATATATATATATATATATATATACATATATGTATATATATTAAGAATACTGGGAAAGAAAGTTACACCTTAGAACTGACCTTGTTTTCCTTTCTTATTCTGATTCTGGTTCCATGTACTTTTATCCCAGAGATGTGCTTCATAACGACCAGTCCATCTATGCCTAATAATTTATGAAACTAGAAAAATGAGTCCAATATCAGAGACAGAAATCATTAATCCCAACACCAGTGACAAAACAAAAAGAATTTCATCCCCAAAAACAAAGTCTAATGACAGAGAAAATGTGCCAAGGAGCAGATCAGAAAATGATACCACAGTGATTAAAAATAGATAGCATTAATCCAAGTTACCCCATGGGGTAAATTAACCCCCTCCCGGGAGGATTAATGAGATTTTGTCAATAAAAAGTTAAATATAAAATTGATACAATGTCAAATACAATGTCTTAACTGCCTTAATCCACCTAGAATGGGATAACTTAGACAAACCCATTTTAAAATAGATTTTGACATGGCACATACCTTTTATGGTATGCCTAGGAGTGAGATTTTAAACGGAAATTAAAGGAAAGAAATTTTGTATTTTTAAATTAAGGTTACATTATTTATAAAAATAAATGAATAATTAAAACATTAAATTTAAGCTAACCTATCATTTAGAGCATATTTATTAGAAATTGTTTTAAAAAAGCATCCTTCCTTTCTCCCACCAAAACCCCACTCCTAAACATATCCTTAATGTCATCGATGCCATTTCATATTCATATATACATCAACTCTTCAGTTCATTTCGTTAGTGGTTGCTTAAGTAGCATGCACAGTTTCACTAGTTTGTTGCACCCACGTAGCAGCAGAAATATTTTATTTAATCACGCAAATGATCATGAAATGCATTTTGTTCTCAGAAACTTCAAAAGTTAAATGCAATAGAAAATTAACCAAAACGGAAACATTAAAAATGAAAAAAAAAAAAAAAAAGTCTCAGCACAGTTCACATTTCAAATCCCAATTCTCTAGTTGATTGAGGAGGAACCTGGTGACGCCACGGTATATGGAGCTGCGTTTGCCCGCAACACAAGGAGGCATTTTGCTGATTCGCTCTTTCGCAGTGCACACTCTCTCTTTCTTCGCTTTCTTCAATCGTAATTGTTCATCGTTCGGCATCGCTGCTTCGGATGTCTCCGTTCCGCCACCAGCTTCGGACTTGCCAGGATCGGAAGAAGAGGAAGCCATCGATAGAACCAAACCCTAACCCTATAACAGTAAAGAGAGAAAACGAGAAAGATAGATAGTGTGAGTGTCTGTGTGTGGTGTTTTGATTCGCAGTGGAGGGAAAGGAAAATACTACATAGGATTCGTTTTAGTTTCGTGAGGTTAGAGCAGGAAGTGATGGAATTACGGAAATGTCCTTGAGTGGTTTTAATATGATGAAAGGGTAGGGTGGGGGCTTGCAGGGCTTAACTGAAAGTAACGGCTAGGATCAGAGGAGGGTAGTAACGTCATTTGAGGTTTTTGAAAACATGATGACGAACTTGGTGCTCTTTGCTAAGATGCCACCTCTTGAGGGAACAATTTTTCAAAAAGAGAAAATGTTTTGTTTAAATCTTTTTCATACTAGCAAAATAAAATTTTAATTGCAATACATTGTCATTTTATTGGTATACTAATTTTCTCAGCTCAAGAATTTATATATTTTTTCTCCTCATTTATGATTATTTTTATACGCTTTTATTAATACTAAATTTTAGAAAACGTGTAATTCTACAATAAAAAAAATACATTCTTTTGCAATTTTTTACAATTTTTTTCATTTAAAACCGTAAAGAATTGTGATGCAGAGAAAAGTTATGTACAATACAAATGTTAACGGTGTAAAATTGCAAAGAAAAAAAATATTATTATTATCTATTATTTTCAACTATTAATTATAGAGAATGGTAATTTTCTTTACAACTATTTCTTATCAATTGCATAGAATAGTTACTTTTCTCTCGTTAATCATTCAGATGCGAAACATGACATAAATCACAGCTAAATCAAATTTCATTCACTTTCAAATTTCATTCAAATCCGAAACATGACATAAGTGAGAGATAAAACACACTAAACCACAACTTTCTTTACTAACATTTACTCTTTCTTGTTGTATTTATAAGTCACTTTATTACAAGTTACTTTATAATTTCTATAAAGTATTTTTTTTTATTTATCCTTAATAAACAGAGTTAACAGGAAGCTAAATCAAAATTAAGGAGGATAAATATTGATACGAGATTAAAGTCCAATGATATTAAATAAAAGTAAAATTTTTATGTTATAATATTTTTTTAAAATTCAAGAAAATCATTTGATTTTAACTTCTTTTGTTAGCCATTACAATTTAGTTAAAGATAACTTATAAAAAAAATTAGAAGTATTGACCTTTAATGAGAGAGAAAGTAAAGCTAATACATCTAACGAAAATAAGAAAGTAAGGTTTAAACTAATAATGATTTTTGAGTTTGTTTTTCTTATGTGTGACAACTTGAAAAACAACCAAAAACAATGAAAGAATGAGTTGGAGACGCAAGCACGTTAAAAGAGAGAAAGAGAAAATAAAAAAGAAAAAATAATTATTTGGTTTGATAATGAGAGTGAAACTTTAAGCCTATTATGAAAAAAAAAAGCTTTAAGTGAAGTATAGGAACAAAAAAAAAAAGGCTTTAAATGAAAGTAAGAGGAGTCTTTCTTGGTGCATAAAACTTAAAACATAAAAGTTATATATTTTTTTTATGATTAAAACAAAAAATTGCAAAAAATAAATAAATATGAATGTAGAGACAAATTTTAAGATTGTAAGAGTTAAGTCACAATGAATGATATGACTTATATTGTAGTTCAACTTATTAATCGCAAATCATAATCTATGGAAATTTTTTTTATATGTGATTTTACATTTAACTTCAAATATTTGAGCATCATATATGTAAAATTTTTTGTATAATATAAAAGTAGTAAAATTTTATTAAAAAATAAAATATTTATTACGTTAAAAATATAATAAATGTTACTATTATTTATTAAAAATGTTAATTACTATTAATAATTACTTAAGTTTTGAGATTAATACTTGTTCATACTATATTAAATATTGAATCTTAGCAAAAGTTCAGCATTGACGAGACGACGGTTTTCCAAAATAATTAGAGAGATTTTTATTGACCGATGACTTTATTCTCATAAAGAAAGGCTAGTAACCTTTGGTTAAAAGCTTTAATAGTTGTGTTGTTTTTCTTGTCCTCTTGCAATGACCAAGTAAATTGCCGAATGTTTGATATTCTATATTTAAAGGTTCACAGTTTGAGTATTTTTTGTTTTTTCTTTTGGAAGTAGCTGTTGTTAGATAGAAGGTGATGACGGAAGTATCAAAAAATGTTATATTAACATTCGTTATGTGCAGTTATACTTCCAACTGTAGTAAAGATGATATTTTCAAGTACAATATCTTAAAATGAACCTAAGCAACCAAAAGTCAAAACAGGTTCATAATTAGATGATAATTTCAGTATAAGTACATAAAAATCAACATACAATCCAACAATTCAACTTATAAGTGGCAGTAACTTTTGAAGTAGAGCATTTTGTTCTATCAAATTTATCCATACTCATTACATACCATACCAAGTGTCTTGCTTATCAAGGATCAGTGCAATTCAGTGGTACGAAGTACTTATTAAGAAAACATTATATGAAATTTAATTTGGACTATCTTTCTTTCCTATAAAAGAGCTTGTCATAGTAAATATAGAAACTACTTTAGCTCTCTCTTAATTTTTTCGCATTTGTCCCTCTATTTAATCAAATCCATCAATCTTTACTTGTGAAAAATACGATACAAGTTGGTTAAGGTTTATTATCAGTATCTTCACAATAATCTACAAATATTTTATATTGTTTATTCATATTATTTTAAAATTATATTAGCATATCTCATCCCTAGGTTTTTAATAATTATCGTATTTCGTATCCATATCCGTACTGGATACTAGTACTATTCGCGCAGCATAGTTGGTAACTTAGTACCTTCTGAAAACTAGGGGAACTACGTCCACTGAGACTCTACGATCAAGTTTCATTGGCTATTTTGCAAAAAAATTACAAACAATACTGAAGAATTAACTCGGTAACCATCAGTCAAGACTTGCAAAATCTAGCAGTTGGGGAAAAATTCTGCCGATGGCAAAACATACCTATTTACATAATCAACCAGGGCCAATAATCCATTACAACAACTTTAATCAGGTTCTTAACTTTGCCAAAAAAATATGCATGCAGTAACCAGCTCTCCATTTTGTAAGGCAGGAGATTCGAGCATCAAGCTTGAAAAACACTGCCGAATTCCTCTCTATAGAGCTTGCTCAGCAGGGAAGACACTTCAAAAATCCCCGCTTATAGCCCTTTACTTGCTATCTCTCATCTTGAATATGCAGTTACAGATAAATGACATTATCAACACCTGTATGGTCAGGGAGATATATATCTTGGATATGTTTTAAGAGCTTGAGTGTAGTTCATATATCAAGTTCTTTTGAATTTCCTTTTTAGCTTCTGCGGCTTGGGAGGGCGTACAGACGCATAAGAAGCTGTTTTATCCTTCATACTTGTCAGTTTTACCTTTCTCTTACCACCAACTTCAGTGAATCTATTGTTCTGGCTTTTCATACCCTTTTTATTTTCTTCTAACCTTCCAACATTTGAATTTTTATCATTAGAGTGCTTACTTCTCTTGGGCAATCTGAATCCATCATTGCTAGTAGACTTACGGGGTTCCTTTTTGAAAGGCATGTCTGTCTCAAATTTCTTGTCCCTCTTTCTCTTTTTGTGTTTGACAGAATTTTTCTCTTGGGTATCTGAACTTTCAGACTTCCTCCACTTTAGCCTACAACGTATGTGTATGTGTGTGTGAGAGAGAGAGAGAGAAAGAGAGTACGTAAGAAAGAGAGGGCTCTAATTCAGCTTCCAAGAACAAGAATCCAACTCAATATTTTTCAAAAGAAACTAAATCATACCTCTTGGCAGATGAATCTTCAGGCATATTTTCTGTATCATTAGTGACTGCTTCACTGGATTTACCATGCCGATTCTGCAAGTCAATAGACACCATAATAGAAACTTATATCAAACCTGTAAAACCAGTCAGCAGTACACCATCTACAAATATTACAGATTTCAAATGAGCTTGAAGATGCAAAATCCAAAAAATAAAAGAATAGAACTTTCCACCATTAACATTTCATCAATTATAGTTTTATAATGAACATTCTTGTACCCACTGAGTTAACCTAATTGCAAGGACGTTTTTATAAACCTGATCAGCGCACTACATAAATTTTTAAAAGTGGTCACCTAATATAAAAAGAAAAGAAGTCAAAATAAAGCTAACAGAAATATGGAAACATAATCATGCTTTTAGCTTTTACATTGAGCAGGGGATTTAATTTCTCTGGTTTTGATTAACCATACATATTTTAATTTATCAATTTCCCCAACCAACTTATCTAGTTTTACATATATACATATATAAAGACAAAGTCACCCTGATAGGAGTTAATGTATAGCAGAAAACAAGGAAAAAATTGGAACCAAATGGATAGCTAGTGCCCCCTTGCCTAAACACACTCAAGAACTGAACTTTTTCTTTTTATTATGGTAAAAAAGAAAAATGTGGCTTATTGAACGTTTAATGCCTCTCAGTTACTTTTATCCTTAAAGCTTTGTTAAGAAGTTTGGAAAGAAAGGGAAAGAAAGAGTTTAAAGGATTTATGAGGAGAGGAGAGGAGAGGAGAGGAGAAGGGAAGGGAAGAAGGGTTATAACTCCTCCTTTATTTGAATGTTTAATGTTAAAAAAAGAGGACATGACATTCATTACCATTTTATATTTTTTATTCATATATATATTTTTTTGTCTTTTTTCTTTTTTTAAAAATACAAAAATAAAATATTTTTTCTCTCTAAAAATTAATAATGATTAAGTATTTTAACATGTTAAATTAGTCATTTTAAGTTTTTTTTAAAAATTTTTCAAAATGAGGGAACTCAAAAAAACAAAGTTAAGAAGGTTTTTGGGAGTTTATAAAAACCTCTTCACCATTCCCCTCATATTTAATTAACTTTCAAATAAGGGTTAGTAATCACTAACTCTTCTCTTCCCCTCCCCTACCCTACTCAACTCAACATGAAATTAAACAAAGCTTAAGACTATGTTTGGATTTCATGTTTAAGAGAAGAGGGAAGGAAAAATGAGAGATTAGTAGGGTTTAATTCTTGTTTGGAAGTTAATTAATTAGGTGGGGAAGGGTTATGAGGTTTTTCTAAACCCTCAAAACTCCCTTTGTGTTGGTTTTTTGAGTTCTCCAGGCGTTTTTCTCTCTCCCACTCTCTTGTGCTCTTTCATAATTAAGATTCTTTTTTTTTTTTCAAAATATGTTAGTTTTTAAAGTAATAGTTTTTTTTTAAATTATAAAAAAATAAAAATATTAATTTTTAGAGAGAATAATATTTAATTTTTTACATTTGTGAAAAAAATAAAAAAATATATTAATAAAAAATATAAAAGATAATAATGTCATTATTTTCATAACTCTCTCCTCTCAATATTAAATATCTAAATAAAGAAGGAATTTAACCTTCCTTTCTACTCTCTTCTCCTCCCCTTCAAACTTTTTTCTTTCTCTCTTCCTCCAAATATCTAAACAAAGCCTAAAAAACAAGCTTAATCAGTCAAAAGCTCAATTTTGACAAATATTTTAGCCCTTATGTTGCTTACTTTCATGGATTTGCATACAATGCCATAACATATGACGAGGCCCAGACCATACTTAAGGTACAACAGTACTGTAATAGTAATTTAATAATACTAATAGTACCTCTAGAACTGTCTTGAGAAAACCCTTATACTTCTCTGGGATAACCAGTTTGACCGCAGCAGAACCACACTTCCGTAATAATATTTCGAGTATAACAGTGACCTGCAGAAAATGGGTTCTATCAGTTATACAGATGGTTTTCATGCAGTGCATGTGTATCTAATTAAGTACACCAGCATGTTTACAAAAGGAGCTTAATATTAGATAGTGTACATGCCTTTGACCTAAAATGGTGTCTTGAAACAGACGACCAGGGAAGGATTTCAGTAATAATATCGGAGAGAATATTCTGCAACTCGTTTGCTTGTAAGCAAGAGACCATCACTTTAACAAAGCCCAAGACAGCCTGTTGTAGATGTAAGATTAAACATAAAACAGTGGCAGAAAGATGCTCAAACAGAAATATGATCCTGAAAAAGTAGAACACTTACTTTTATTATTTCCACATCTTTGGTTTGCAGCAAAGATAAAAGGGAAGGAACTAGATCAGAAACAGAGACAAGAAGATTTGTATCCTTGTATACCAATACAGACAGAGCAGACACTGCTCCACTTTTTATATGGGGAGACGAACCAGAAAGATATCCCATTATCTGTATATTGAGTATAAGATAATAAGACTATATAAGTCACTGAAATTCCACAAAATGCATCATATTATCAACTCCATGCCATATAATGTATGCTTTTTTTAACACAATAAGTTCATCCAAACTGTGCGTGTACCCCTCATTGGTTGCATAATTATTGGCTTAAAACAAAACATGAAAAATGTATTATAATTGTGGGAGGTTCAAGTTATACTCTAAAGTGATGACAAACAAGCATACATTTAGGTGCAGCCTTGTAGGTCAAATCTTCTCAAATTAGTGCTTTTCTGATTAAAATAAATAAAAATTACAATCATGAATGCACTTACCATGCTTACTAGTTTTTGATATGATTCAATAGAACCATCAAATGATGAATCTCTCAAGCTAGAGCTTATATTTAAGAGTAAATCATAAGCTTCTTTCCTGGCTTCATCAGTTCCCTACACAGTACCATTGTACATGAATCAGTACAGTTATCATCTTTTCTCAGTGGTTACATGGCTAACTAGTATGTTCTTGATACTTACATCTTTTAGCGTGAGAATGATTTCATTGAGAATAAGAAAAGCCTTTGACTGTTCCTCCTCTTCTAAACTAATCTGCAGAATGTATATTAAGAATATCACTTACTACAGTACAATATTACAACTATACATAAATGGTGTGCACCCCTCTGTCCCTCCCTCAATGATCAAAGAACAATAAATAGAAGAAACATGAAATTAACTTGGCTATGAATTGCCTTCCAAGCAAAACTCAGCAAGAAACATGTTCAATATGCAATAATTTGACCCAAGCTCTTAGCAAAATATTTTTTAAAAAAACGCAGATACATAACAGAACTGTCATGTACATTTATTAACCCTGTTTCACTGTTATTTCAACAATCAAAGGAAAACCAGGCACAAAATTTCTTAAGAAACATAATCATATAAACTGTTATGGTGATAATGTGTTACAAACTAAATTATGACAACCTACTAGATACAGGTGGAAAAAAGCATAGAAAGTGATGCTTCAATACAGCAAGTTGGTAACAATAACTTGAATTTAACAGTTTATTTAAAAAGTATATGGCCCGCTAGAAAACAATTTTAGTTGCCACCAAAATTACTATTAAAAAAATTGAAAATATAAAAAGTTTATAAGTACAATAATCAAGACACCAAGTTAATTCTTGAATGTGACAATTATAGAAGCATCTTACACATTGTCATATCTAAACATATGGAGATTAAAATAAATTGTATATAAGAAATATTATCATAATTCATAACTAAGAATTCTGACCTTCACTGCTTGTACCATCAACATGCAGAAACAAGCATACCGACTCCTAAGAGATGGAATAGAAGTTGGAGGTTTTAGACCAAGTAATTTATCAATTAGCTCAATATATCTAGGAGAAGAAAAGGATGGGTGCTCCTGCATCATTCAGCAACAGTAATGAGATAGGTACCAAGAGAAAAAATGAAATGGAAAAATCTCACAAACACAGACCTCCAAAATTTTGCTCAGTGTGTTGTATGCTTCATGATGAACGCTCTCATCAGTTGTCTACATAACCAAGCATATATTATATTTTTTACAAAACTAAATAGCTTAGTCAAAAAAAAATAATAATAATAATAATAATAAAATAAAATATATATATATATATATATATACATATATATAAACAAAAGGTATTGTTCAACATTTAAGAAATACCTCAAATGAATGTATAGTTAAAGCATAAATAATCTCAACAAGATTATCCTTGGCTCCTTCCACAAGACAAGATGCTATTTCCAATATCAGGCACCTGAAGAACAAAGTGACTTTGACATCAATTAAAATAATAACAAGAAATTAAAAGACTGCGGTTAGTTTTAAGTGCCTACAGTTTCCAGATTCTCCAATTCAAATCAGAAAAGGTCAGACTATTGTTAAGGATGGTGTAAAAGCTTGGTCGTATAAAACTCAAACAACAAATAAGGTTGGCTTTTGTGCAAGATTAACAAAAGAACAACTCTCAATTACTTTTTTATCCAGATACAGAAAAACAAATATTATAAATGTCAGGTACCAACTCTCTCCGAAACTTAAGCAGTTGGGTGTAAGCACGTCAATGATTTATGAAATCTCTCAACAGACTTCCTCAGGCGAGAGTGCGTAAGACTTGAAACATGAACAATTGGCCAACCAACCTATTTATATTGTAAATTTAACTTTTTCTTTGGGAGAATTGAGAAGTTAAGGATCAAACTGTGGACCACGTAGCCAAGTAGGCTTTGATACCATGCTACTTTAGAGATAAAGTTAAGAACTTCAAATTTAAAGTTATTCTGGTAATTCTATACTTTTTAAAGCTTAAAAGTTACTTTTCTGTTAAAATTTCTTAGGCAAAGTGTTCTTGCATCCTGAGATTTAAAATAAAGAAAAGGAGAAGTAGAAGTCAAAAGTTCCTAAAACTAGCTTCTTTAAAAGCTTCATTTTTCAAAGCTGTTGGGTGTGAACACATGAATTGCTTTATTATATCTTTTATCAATAAACAGCCAAAATTAAACAAGCATAGAGTCCTTAGATTGTTAGTTCTAGCCAACCACTCAATCATCTTCATACATATTAGCCCATGGCATACTTCTATGGTTAAACTTTGTGGAATGGTCTCTATGCATAACTAACCTGTGTGGTAAGAAAATCAACAAGATGCTGATTACATTTTTTGAGTGAAATGACTCTGAAAAAACTCTAGATGAAAAGCCAGCAGAAAAGAAAAGGGCTTATTATGAACTTCTGATAAGAAACAAAAAGATATGCTAGACCGATATAATATGTAAATTATTGGCTGCCATATCACCACTGACAAAATTATTCTTGTATAAATTAATTACTGCACCTCTGAGAATATCCCTTCACATCACTTTGATCACTATCTAAAACTCCGCTGTGACTTGTCAATATTTCAGCTTCCCCTTTGCAATCTACAAATTGGAACCTCTTAAGCAGAGACACAAAAACATCTGTAGTTACAGAAGAATCAGCAATAGAAGCCAGGCAACTAATTGCTCCCTGAAAAATCAAAGGAAAAACACTATTTCAAATTACTTAAACACTGTCAATACATTATCAAGCAAATAATGACCAAAATCAGAAAGTAATTGAGACTTAAGAACCATGTGTAACAATTCACAAACCATCATACTAAGGGAAAGGAAAGCTAGAGGCAACATTACAAGCCACAGTGTAACTTTTAGCCTAAAAATACTTCAAAATTATTTTAAATGGCCCAAGTAGAATACTGACCAAATATTTGAGCAGAAAAATAAGTTGTGCATTTTCTAAGAGAAATGAACACGAGAGAAAGGTATCATTCTAACTAGACAAATGAATAACACAAGTGATAAAAGCAAAACCTTTAAATAAAACCGCATTTCAGGGAGTGAATTGATAAATAAATCTGATAAAACATTAAGCAACTGATTCGAACAAGATGCTAAAGACTTTATGTTTTTGGCTGCAGCTTTCTTTGAATAAGCAGGTTGCGCACTGAACTCTAACAAAAATTCATATTCAGCAAGGCAATCTTCCTTGTTCTTTTTAGGGCTAAGGGCAGCTTTGTTTTCATTCACAAGAATCTACAAAAAAAATAAAAAATATGAGCATTTACAGGGAAAGTCAATTGAAAAAATAAACATATAACAACCAAAAGTACAAGGGCCTCCATCAAAGTGTTACCTGTAATGCCATGGAAACATTTTCGTGCATGAAAGAGTCCTTTTTAAGGAAAGTAACAAGGACATCAGAGAGATGAGTAAAACTTTGGTAAGTATCAGTTGCATGACGACAAAAGCTAGGTAGCAATCCCAACAGTTCATGAGCATGAGCCAGCAAATCCTGACTAATCCCTGACTTTTTGACTGAAAAGAAACAGGAAAGCAGAGTTGAAAGCATTAATGTCAGAAGACAACAGAAGATCAGTGTACACAAGCTAATTTAACAGTCCTATGCGTATATCTGCTTCAGACATGAGGCAGAGCACAAGCATTTAATGAGTCAAAAATTCTTTTGGAATATAAAAACCCCAAACATAAATCTTTGAGCTTGGTGACAGAGACAGCATTCAGCAGAAAAACATACAAATTTCCACCATCTCGATACCAAAACAAAAGGAAAAAGTACTATGCTCAAAGCAGAGCAATGGCATAGGTAGAGAGAATAATCAGCCAAAAAACTCTAAGCAAAAAGAAAAGGTGAAAAAAGCATGCTCAGTGGCAAAGGAAGATGAAGATTATAAAAAGAAACAACATGTAGTAAATATACCTTTACGACTAGCCTTCTTAAAGGACTTGGCAAGAGGCACGATATGCTCCATGTAGTAAGCAAGTGATGCGCTCGTAACATAGCGCTTCAAGATTGGTACTAGCCAAATATTTGAATAATTATATCTGTCTTCATTAAGAGATATTGGTACAAGTGTAAGAAATCTCTCTGCTCCCATAGCAAAAACAGCAGACCCAATGCATTTCTGAAGCTGCATAAAATTGAAAAGCAGATGACCTAATAATAAGTATAGTAGCTTGAGTTTTAATTGTACTAGAACAGAAATAACAGTAAAATTAGAAATTTAGACAAGTACTTGTGTAGGTAATAATCAATGTTTTAGGGAGTACAAACTGAAACTGATTATTAAATAAGTACAGGGACAGGATTGAGGATTAAAGATTCAACCAGGATTGAGCTGCAGATGAACTGGTGTTCAGCATATGGCTGTGATGTTATTCAAGTGTACTATGAAGTAGATAATATTAAACAAATTTAAACATTCATATTAATTAAGATATGTATATAGGAAATAATTAAGATATGAATATAGGAAATAATTCAAACATTATGAAATATTAAATTCAGAACAAATTCTTTTAATATTATGTTACGAATTAGAAAGGTAAAATCAAGTAAAGATAACATTCATATGGTAACCTAATTGATTGCAAATTAATATATGCAAGAAAATAGAGTATATACATAAAAAGCAGTACTTTTTTTTACAAAAAGTAGCTATTTTAACTTATAACTAACTTATAACGAAAAGTATATACATAAATTTTTACAATATCTCCACAGTACTGCTTCTAAAAGCAAATGCACATACAGATATCTTGTTTTTTCAACTGGAAGCCCAAGTACCTTACCAATACCAACAATTTATCCAGCCAGAGATCAAACTTGCAAAATCCTTACAAAAATTATCTATAGCGAACTGCCTATAACTTAAATGTTACATATTGAGAAAGAAAAAATTTGACCTATTGACTCCATAATTGAACTACTCTGAGAAATTTTAAAATGACTGAGAAACAAACACACAATGAATAAAAAATGACATGGACACATGGTTAAAGTGTAGAAATCAATCTAACAAAAATTTAGATCAATGCAGAAACAGCCAAAGAATCTTTCACCAGTACTTACATGCTCATTTTGAACCTTGCCTCCAAGTATTTGAATCAAGTCAGCAAGTTTAAGCACAATATTCCTCATGAACACAAATGAAAATTTTCCTATAGCAAAAAATGATTAGAAGAGAATAAGATATGGCCAAAACGTAGTTTTACTACTATTAATTTTTTAAACAAGAAAGAAGCGCAATAACATAGAATAAGACATTATCCCCTGATTTTCCTCACAAAGTAGCAGAGAACAAAACATAAGAGTGTGGAAAGAAATATCAAAACAATCAAGCACTTCAATTCCTCAGATCAATCAATTAATCATATATCAAGAGTTGATCCAGTGTTTTACTTTATTTTTTGACAAAATATAACATTAATAAGATAGAAAAAAGAAAAGTATAATGAAGAGGGTGGAAAAGATATCCAGCTAGAAAAAGGAACTAAAAGAAAACAGTGAACCTAAATTTGATATGGCAACGAAGTTGTCAAATCTCTGGATATCAGCCCTTTTAAAACATGTTCACAAATCAGAAACCAAATTGAGACTATAAACACAACCCTATTCCATTACATCTGAAAGGGAAAAGAATTGAACTAACAGCATAACATTTTGCTCCAACTAAATAATGATAAGATAGTTATGTGATGTGTGGAGTAGCACTTATGTGAATTTAGTAAACCATAGGACAGTTATATGATATGTTGCATGGAAGATATGTGTATATTTCTTAAATAGGATCTGAGACAGATTTCTGAGTCATTGCCAAATTGCTGAAGTTTGTTTGAAGAAGGAGCCTCCCTGTTAGGGCTTTGGCCTGTATTAGTGTTCTTTCAATTAAATCCTCCAGTTTGGGTGCTCAAACTCAAGTCTAACAAATACAGCAGTGAACAGAAAAACCCGCACAATTCCAAAATATTTAGTCTCCTCACTCTTCTAAAACCTTGAATGCATCATGAAACTTCTCCACAGTTGAAAGATAACAAGCCATAGTAGTCAATTTCGAATAGCAACGTGGAGCAGCCGACCCCAAAAACGCTATAGTGGCATAGTGGATAGCGGGATGGCCAGTATTTGAAGTTCTAAGTATTATACCTAATATAAAAATAATATCCAAAACAGAGAGAAATATAAAAAAAAAACAGATAAGGAAATAAGAAAACAGGGAATTGGTAAGTCACTAGAAACTATGCAGGTTCGTCAGATGTTTTATCAGAGATGAAGAAGATGACCGGAAATGCCTGGATCACATTGGAAGCTTCGCCGGAGTTGAAGAAGACAACCGGAGATGAAGACGACCGGAACACGACTAAGTTACATCAAAAGCTTTGCCAGAGATGAAAAAGATACCCGGAAGATGACTTTGTCACGTCAAAAGCTTCGCCAGAGATGAAGAAGGGCACTGGAAGCAAGAGAATGTAGCAGAGAACGAAGATGGGGAAGAACGAACCAGAGAACTGAGAGATGAAAATGAAAACTTAGGGCTCGTGAGGAAGAAGATATCAGAAATGTAAAAAGGGGCAAAATCCCAAGATTACATTTAAAGATTTCCAACGTTAAGAAAGTGAGGACAAAGTTAGGTTTTGGCCAAGGTTGAAATAGGGGCCGCTATGGCTGCGATTCTCCTGCAATTAGGCCTCTATTCACGACGCGATGGCCGCTCCACTGAAACGAGACGCTACAAGCTCCCCATAGCGGCGACATGCCGCTTCACTTGCTCCTCCACAATAGCGGCCGCTATGGCCACTATTGACTACTATGTAACAAGCACGCTTGACAATGGAAAAAATGTAAAGCCTTTTCCAATCTGACCTTGCAAATAAAGAAATTGACGGGAAAACAGATGTTAAGGTCTGAATCTGCTACGTTTCATTTTCGTATCAATGTTGATAAAATCACATCTTTCATCCTGAAATCACAGAATTTTCCAACTGATTCCAAAGCTAACTCACTACCACAATTTCAAGTGTGTGAAATCATGGCAGAATTGATGAGTTAGAGCATAGAATCATGAGCTTGGAGCAGCTCACACAATTTCACCAGAACTGGATATTTGATTGAGACTTCTTGACCCAAAAAGCCCAACTCTCTATTCTTCCACAACATAAACCCAAATCAGGTTCGAGAATCATCTTTGTTCTCTATTGATGGAAACTAAAAAAGCGATCAACTGTAAATACTGTGAGAAGAGGAAGACAGGTGGGTCGGTCTAAACATGTTTTAATTTAGTAGGAACATAAAGGGAGATTGGACCCCGCATTGTTGTCCTTGGTGATGTTAGAAACCAGATGTGGGACATTGTTGCTTCATTTCATTAAAAACTCATACAGAAAGCCAACTCGAGAGTCTAATGGAAGTAGTAGCATTGGTCAATCTCTAGATGCGACTGGAAAGTGGAAAAGGCAAGAAGTGGAGAGTCCAGCAGATCCTTTCAAGAAAGGAGGTTTAAGCTCCTAAGCTACTATCAATAGTATTTCCAAGGTTTAATAGATAACCCCAATGTAGTTAGTCGGTAGAATAATTAGTTAGAGTTCGTTGGTTAGTTTCTTGGCTGGAACTGTTAGTCTGAGAACTTCTGTTAGTACGTTACAGAATTGTAAATAAAAGAGACAGTATAAGTAGTAGAGGGGGGAAGAGAGGACAGGGAGTAATAATAATTCAGTTATGGGATAGTTTCCAGGCCTCCCAAATATCCAGCAGAATTATTGTTGTGTCATTTTCCTGATTTGTTGTTCTCTTCCAGTCTTCCACATTGTAAGTAGAGCTGGAATTAGGTTTTTCTCTCAATAAAGATCGTCTTTTCTTAACATTGGTACCAGTTTCTATCAAGTGGTATCAGAGCTTCAATCTTGGAGCTGTGGGTATCAAATTTTAAAGAAGATTCCAAAGTTTGATGGGAAAGAAGCCTATTGGTGGCTAATAAAGGTAGAACAGTATTTTGAGCATAGTTATCAATCTTAGATGGAGGCAAGTAGAGACTAACAAAAAAATGTTGTGGTGGGGTAGTGCCCAGCAGGATGGCTGCTATTTAGAAATTTAATATACAAATTAAATAATTATACTATAACATAAATGCTAAAATATTAAAAAAACTCAACTTATGACATGTTCATAATTAAAAAAAAAAAAAAACGTCAAACGTCTTGGGCAAAAATCAAAAATAGAAGCACTACAGCCACTTTTAAAGGGGAAAAATGAGTTTTTCTATAAAGCTTCACTTTAGCGCTGCTATAACAGCACTACAGGCACTATTTTGACTGGTATTGCGGCCACTATGGCTACTATTTGAAAACACTCCGCTATTCAAATTTTGTAGTGGCTTGTGGCCACTCCGCTATTCCATTATAGTCCACTATTGATAACTATGATTTTGAGGAGAAAGGAATACTAGAAGAGAAGTTATCATGGGCTTGGTTTGCTAAGAAAGGTTGGGAGGTGCTTACATGGTGGTACTGCCAAAAAGCAAGCAATCACCATGCAACATGGTGCAATTTTGTGAAGGCAGTACTCAAGAGGTTCCAACCTGAATATGATCCTGATTTTTTTGTAACTGTTGGAGATGACGAACAACAATCTTGGTTACAAGAAAGCAAAAAAGAAGATGAAAGTCAAAAGACTACAGAAGATGAGAATCAAAATGAAAAATTGAAAATCAAGAACCTGAAATGCAGTGATGGAGAAGAAATTGATCGGTCTGATAGAAGCAAGAACAGAGGCTAAATTGCAATTGTTGACACCAGACCTAACTCTCTTACAAGAAAAGCAAATAGAAATTTCAAAGAACAAGGGTTTGGTGCAAAAGATTAAAAAACAATATCAAAAATTGGAGGCAGAGATTGAGGAAGAAATCAAAAACCCACAAAAAGATGTATGGATCAACGGAAGTGGAGTTCAGTTGGGGGCAAATTGAACTACAATAAAACACAGTCTCACAAGAAGAAAGGATTGTGTATCATGTCAGGAAGGTGCTGCGAATAGGGACGGTTTGAGCACATCGGGTGAATGTTGGAGTTAGTCCACCATGGCCACAAAACCCAGCATCTCGAGTTGTATAGGTCAAGAGACCACATTTGAAGCCTCCAGACCCAAACTCATCCTCGGAACTGGGTGGGTCAACAGCAGCAACAAAGTTTCAGGTTTCACATATGTTGTCAAGCACTCAAGCCTCCATCAAGGAGGCAGGATTTGTATATGGTGACTGATGAGAAGCCTCTTGCTCAGATGAGAAAAAACGTACATCGAAAACAATGGAAAGCAAGGGTAGAATGGGCAATACAAAAGTCCATACAGTTCTAATATTCAAATGTTATACATTAATATGAATTAGTCATCAATATCTCTTTATAAATAATTTTTTTTATATAAACTATGTTGTTTCTTTGAATTCATGCTAATGCATTTAGGTGGTATTGTATCTTGAATTTTCAAGAATCTCCCGTATCCAAGTATCCATATAGTCATGTCGTACTAAGTATCTGGGCTTCATAGTTTTGATTACATGCCTTTATGGGAAATCCTGAATGAAAGATGGGACAACCAATTGCATAGGCCTTTCACCTTTGCATACTGAAAACTACTATGTAAACCCAATCTTGCACTATAGTAAAGTTAAATATGGACTTCGTGCATGTCTAGAAAGAATGATGGGAGAAGCTCATGACGTACATAAGATTGATGACCAGCTTGAGGAATTTCAAAAGTAAAGCATAGTTTTGTGGTAGTTTAGTAGCTCAACTTGGTTTTAAAAACAAAACACTAGCATAGTGGTGAAATTCTTATTGTGATGAACATTTAGAGCTGCAAAGGTTCATAGTTTATGCATTGAGCTTGACATGTTCATCCAATTGCAGTGCAATTGGAGTTTCTTTGAGATGGTAGGATTTCAGATTTATGAAATGTAGTATATTTTATTTTTTTTAAATTATAATTAAATAATACCTATGAATATGTACTAATTGATTTTGTAATATTTTAAGTTTACAGCAACAAAAGAAAATGTCTTAAGCTACAAATGATGTTGTGCTTGTGATTGTTAATTCAAAATTGGCCACAAAAAAGTAATCTAAGACAAGAGAAAACTTAACATTAAGGATACTCCATTTGATAATGATGCATAGTGGAGAATGACCAAAACTAATTTGGATTTGAATTCCAACTGAGGAGGATTTGGTTCAGGTTGGAGAAGATGTTAATGCTGGTGGTGAAGGTGGTGCACCATTGGATAATTTGGAAGTTCCAAATGCTGTTGATGATGTAATCAATGAAGGTGGAGGAGAAGCCTTTAATGAAGATGATCATGTGAAGGATGATTACAAAGATTGGCACATTAGAGATTTTCTACTAAACTAAATATCTAGAATTCTAGATTCCAAAATTGGACGCTTTGACATCATGAGTCGTATTGGATGTTAGGTTTATGAATTTTCAGTTGAAGTGTAGTTTAACAATTATGTAATGTAGAGATTATTTTCATTATCTATGTTATTTCCTATGAATTTGTATATGTTAAAAGTATAATTTTTCATTTTTAGAAGGATCTTATGATCCTTGTTACAATCCACGATTTATGATCTTTTTTACTTGCCCCCGCCCCCCCAAAAAAAATCCAAGGTAAAATCTCAATTTTGACAACATTGTTGCTTATGGTGTTTCACAACACCTAGATTACCCTAGGGTTTCCTAATATATAGTCATCCACTATGCAGCTCCAATTCTAAGTTCACTCATAAAACCAGGAACCTCACTAAAATAGAACATCCTTGTTCAATGGCGAGACAAGAACCTGGTATATAAGATATAGCACTTTATATAAACATTAACAATAAGCAAGACGCTACAAATCAAACAGTGAGAAGCTAAACAAGATTGTATAACACAAAAATTCATGTGGACAATAATTTTTCGTAAAAAAATTATAAAACATAAAAATCTTGCAATGCCATAGCAGTAACATGTTAAACAAAATTATGCCATCATGTCTCTGACAATCCACAGCTAAGACCAATTAGATAGAATAAAAAATTAAAAAGAACAATTATTCTTTATTATAAACTACTATATGTTAGAGTTCCATACCAAACTCAAGAAATAGAACAGATATGACAGACAAAACATGCTCATTTGGAATTCCATCAGTAGCAGAAAGAGCATTCTCAAAAACTGCACATGTCGATTTTATTGCATTGCCTTCCACACTTTCCTGAATACTATCATGAGATATTTGATCTGTACCAATTAATAAGCTTTGGGAACCAACATGATGCTTGAGCACATCACTCAAAATTCTTGAAGTCTGGGAAGCAGTGTTTCCCTCAAAAGTTAGAAGACCTAAGTTCATCATTGGCAGCATGTATTAGAACAATGGATAGGAAGGGGAAAATACAAGGGGAGAAAAAACAGTATCCCTAAAATTAATTAAGTAATTAGCAATCCTACCCCCCTCCCCAAGCCATTAATTTCATTCAACATAATATAACTATTAACTAAATAATAAATAATCTTCAAATGCTGCATGGAAGTCGTGAAAAGATAAGTTAAGCAGTGGCTAAATAAAAGATAGATTTCAAAACAATGCTCCCACGGTGACAAAATTAATCTATCATTTTATCATTAACCAGTAATAAGACTTACAGAAATTACAGTAGATTTATACAATATAATCAAAACAAAATCCCTAGAATGAATTGATTACACCTAAATGATTTCTACAATTGATAGAACGTGGATGAAACATACATACCCATCACAGATTCACAAACTAGAGGAAGATTCTTGATCCACAAGCTTGATTGTCCAGTATAAAGTGAGTCCATTGCAAATCTTAATAAGGTTGCAGCAAAAATCACAGTATCCAAGGATTTATTATCTCCCAAAGATACTAATGAAGCAAGAGAAACTACAATGCCCTCTGTCTCTAGGACTATATTTCGGACTTTTGAAGCTTCAAAAATAGCTTCAATAGTTTTAAGAACATGCCTTGTAAGTTCCAAGTACTGAGAACCAAATAATTTATGCACTTCTGAAAGAACTTTAGGAATAACTTTTGCTGAAAGATGTGGAGCGATCAGATTAATTAAATTCAGTACATGTAGGACCTCCAGGTGTTCATGTTTCAAAACCTTATCTTCTTTACACTCATCAACAGTCCTTAAAGCATTTAATTTCATCGCCAAAGCACTGCAACTTTTCAGCTCTGACAAAACCAACTTGCTAGCTTCCTTGGTAACAGTGGAGGATTTGATAGACTTGAAAGCCTTCACAACAGATTCTTGAGCGCATCTGCGTACCTAATACAAACCAACCACAACACACTCCAGAGTGAAGGAAAATTCATGGCAAATTTGGGAATAATACAATGGCACGGACCAAAGCTGGCAAAACCAAATGCTGCTTGCATTGCACGGGAAAACTATCGTAACAAATACAAGTCAAAAAAAGCTATTGCAACAGCAACATACGGATTTTTTAGGTTTATAAAATCAAATCGCAACTGCAATTCCAGCTGCATTTGTCCACAAATTCCAGTGTCAAGATTTTTGAGACTCAACAATCGTAACCTTGATTCATTTTACATTTCTATTTCGCCTCCTAAGATAAGTTTAGCCCAACTAAGTCTCTGCATAATTGAATATAAATTAAGCATAAAAAAAGAGCATAAACTGCTACCTTTGGGCGCTTGTCAATGGAAAACTTGACCAATGTTTCAAAGCCTAATTTGATTCCATCCCAATCCTCCAAGTCACAAAACCCAATCAAAACCCCCAAGCACTTCACTAAGGCCCTCACGCTCGAAACCCCCAACCCTTCCCCCTCCCTCGCCAGCACTGCTACAACTATTTCCGCCGCCTCACGCGACTTTGGCGCCGCGATGCCGCCGGGCGGCACGAGGGGAAGGGTGATGACCATGAAGGAGATGAGCGCGGAGAGTGCCACGGGGTCCAGTGCTTCTGCGGCGTCGAGGGCAGAGATGGCGGCGGCAAAGTAGGCGGGCGGCGTGAGGGGGAGGGACTCGGCGGCGAGGTTGGAGCGAAGGGCGGCGGCGGTGGCGATGAGATGGCGATGCTGCGGCGCGGAGGAGTTGGCGTAACGGTCCATGAGCTGCTGGCAGAGGTCCGAACCATCCTTGAATGGTTCCGTATGATCTTCTTCCATGGACTTTGAAACGGTTCAAATGATTTGCTTCGTTCGTCGGTTTTTCGGTTCAGGGAATTTTGTTCAGCCGGTGGATGAGGAAGGACACGATGGCGGAGAAGTGAAGGGTTTAAACGTTCTAAGGGTTTAAACTGTTGGAGAAGACAAATAAATAAATATTTTTTTTCTTTCTCATAAATAAAGGTTATTGACCATATATTAGGGTTGCTCATTGCCTGCGTTTCCTCAGGCTTTGGCCCATGAAGTTCAATCTTAACAAAATTAGAGTTGCTTTTTGCAAATTTTTTTTTTTACATTTTATTAATATTTTTTAAATGTTTTTAATAATAATTTATTTTATTAACCTTTTTATCCTTTTCAAAAGTTTACTTTCTTTCTATTTAACTTGTTTTTACGTCAAATATTTTTCTCTCTATTCCAAATTTCAAATGATTAAAAATGATATTATCATTATATTTTGATCAAAATAAGTTTTTAAAATTAGATTTTTATAATTCTAAAAATTAATTTTTAAAATTATTTGTAAATTTATGTTTAGTAAAAGAGAAAGAGGGTAGAAGGTGGGTGTCGATAGTTAGAAAGAGACAGAAGCAAAAAGCTGAGTAAATGACAATTTTTTGTGATTTTGTGTTTAAGTTTATATGTCTAAGATTTGAAGGATTTTTTTAAAATATTCAAAATATATTTAGAACGTTGTTTATAAATATTAATTTTAAATAATAAAATATTAAAAAGTTAAAATGAAATAATATGATAAATTAATTCTTTGTTAGTAGAGATAATTGATGAAAGGAACTAAATTATAATTTCTTAATATTTCAATAATTAAATTTTAACAAAAACATTTATAAAAAATTGTCACAAAATATGCCACTTTTATTGTGATTAGAACGGAATTTAAGTCAATCAAATAAATATAAAAATTAAGAAACAAAAAATAAAATTAAACTTATTATTTTATTTATTTATTTCAATTTAAAAATATTCTATCCTGTCATTTCAACATAGCTTGATGCTTTGTTTAATTTATTTTTCAATAAAAATTAAAAACAATTTAACCAAACTAAGTAAGATAAATTTTGAGGTTACGTGGTTATATTTGTTTTAATATTTTTATTTGAAATATTTAAACTTTTCAAATTATATTAATTTAAATATTTTCCTTTTTAAAATTTTTATACGATTAAATTTCTCAAGTCTTAAAATATAAGCGATGTTATATAATTTTTTAAAAAAAACGAATTGGTTAAATAGTCATTTAAAAATTTACATTGTTATCATATTAATTAAATATAATAATAACTAAATCAATTTTTAAAATTTAATATATCACCAAATTAATCCTTCAAATATTGAAAATATCACGAAATTATTTCTCACATATAATTAAAGTAATAAAAAGAATACATGGATTAATTTACATGCAAGTTAAATTATTGAAGAGTTATTTCATTAAAACTTTGAAAAGCTAATATAGTAACAATTCAAATATTTGATAAACTAATTTGGTAGTTCGAACTTTTAATTTGTGCAATTGTAACTTAAAAAAATTAAATTAAACTTTATTTTATTTTAATTTTTACTATTTTCAACAGTAATATATATAATATAAAAAAAGTTTATATTCCAATATTTTTATGAGATTTTTATCTTAGATCCTTTAAAAATTATTTATTTTAGTTCATATTTAAAAAAGTTTTTAACTTTAATCACTCTCATTAATGTAACATAAAAAGAAATTGATACCTGATATTTTTAATTAACTATGTTATTATTTTATAGTCATTAGAGATTAAATATATTAATTGAAAAATAAAATAAAAATTCTATAAAAGGATGAGAAAAATGCATATAATTTTTTGAAGTGATGCCACTTGGGTTTTATAGTCAAACTTATGCAGCCATGCATGAATTTAGAAATCTATTGACTTTAGTGGTAATATTATTAGCATGGGATTTTGTTTTACATGATCTCTATATATATTATATACTATAGGAATTTATAAAGCATTTAATTCATTCATTAATAGATAGGCAATAAAGGTTGCAGCTGTCTCTCTCAGGACAGCCCTTTACAAGCTGTGGTGTCCCAATGGAATCAATCCTTAGATAATTTTGAAAAATGGTCCTACAAACTATTGCTCAATTTCCACAATGCCAAAATGCACACACAACACTGTTCTACTCATCTACCTTTGCCATCACTGTGCTATTCCGTCGGCAGGGACTAAATATTAAGAACAACATTTTCATCTGTTAATTGATTCTCCAATGAATGAATGTGTTTGATTTTAGCTCCTTTAAGATAAGATAAGATAAGATAAGATAAAATAAGAAAGGTGTAAAAATGAGAATATAGAAAAGAATTATAATTTAATTACTAAAATTATTAATAACTATTCCCTCCATGAAGCAGTACAGTATGCTTCTTGAGTTTATCATATAGATGGCAATTTTCTTTCATTCTCTCTTTAACTCTCAGAAACCAAAAGATGGATCAATCTCTGATGCCAAGTACATGTTTTCTCACTTGATCTTCAGAAAATTGTATACAAAGCATGCTATCAATATTGTTAATCACATTACATGATCAAATCAATCCAACAATTGGTGTTATAACTCATGGTATTATGGCTGGTCAGCATAGAACCAAAAACCCTATTTATTTAATTTGTCAAAAATCATGAACACTGTTATTTTTTAAGCACAGGGACACAACCTAATTGTTGAGGACAATCCTAATTGTGAAAATAGTTCAATAAATGAAGAGTGTTGAGTATATATTTTTTAAGCCCACTTTTAATACATTCTTTATTATTAGTTGAAATTTAATTAGGAGTGTTTAGTTGAAAATTTTGTTTAAAACATTTTTGGAATCTTAAGTTAATAAGAATGCTACATTATGTAATATTTAGCATGAAAATATAATAATATTTCCAAGAATTAACATTTATAGGAAAATTTGTTTACCTACGCTTTTCATTCTATGAGAGGGATGATAATCTAAGTTTTTTTTTTAAGATAAAAAAAGTTTTTAATCATACTTATGTATATTTTTAAAAATATTTTAAGAATACTAAACACATTTATATCAGTTTTAGAAATTATGATTCTCATAAAACATACACATGTCCTTCATAGAAAATCATAAGATTATGGATAGGAGCTCATTAGATAAGGAATAGAACCCACACGAGTTTTTTTTTACAATAATTTAAATCAGCAATAAATTTTTATTTAAAACTATAATATTGTATATAAAGACATATTATTAGTACTTTTTTAGAATAATTTATTAAAAAATAATTACATTTTTGTCAGTCAATTAACTGGAAGATTGTTTAAAATGATTTATCTAAAATTAGAAGAGTAATCAGAACAATTCAAAGTTAGGACTTGTGAGTCTTTCTTTGCAAATGATTCAAATTTAAGGAAGTTTTATTCTTTTAGAAGATTTATATAATATGTACTTATTGACACCCAAAAATCAGTTCTAATAAATACATTTTTATGGTAAAGTATTGTAACTACTCAAATGCCGTATTATTTCATTGAAAGCTAGAAATAAAGAACAGATTTAACATGGGAGATTAATAATAATAAAAAAAATATAATATAAAGTTGATAGAAAATGAAATCTTATCATAAATAAAATATTTAACTCTCAATTACACTTATGATATTATATACTGTATGAACTTATCAGATAAATCAAAATAAAATGATTTTACACGGGTTTGGCATCAATAATATAAAGAAAAATTCATTTTTTCGTTTCCTTTTAAGACATATGCAATTTTTTTTAATGTCAGATTTTCCCAATTGCACAAAAATTGAGTTAAAAAAATGTTAAAAATAATTTATAAAAGAATATCTATAAGCTATTTTGCTAAAAAAGAAAACACACTTCCTCTTCTGCAAATTATAATTATAACTTGAATCAAACTAATGTCAACTAGGAAATTATTTCTTGAGTCCACGCAGAATCATTTCTCCAAAAAGTTTATGGTCTAATCATTATTTTTCTTTTTTCAGAAAAATAAATTAACTTTTCTCAATTTGTTGTTTCTTTTACCTTTTGTCGTCTTCTCAGAACAAACGTAGCTTCGTATGCTCTTAATTTGTTTCTTTCTTGTTTCAGATTAGAAAATTTTCATCCCCATATGATTATAGTACTTTTCCTTTTAAAATATTACACCTATTAATTCTTGCACAATTATGAGTTAGTTGATATTTTCGATAACGCAATTTTCTTTAGTTTTTTGCGACTTTAAGGGTTGAACTCTAATTGGTTATCACTGTTTTAAAGAAACTTGTCAAATTGAAGTTAAACACAGGAATCACAAGTCACAACTATACCATGAAAAAAAATAATACTCTAAGGCTAAATAGAATATATTATATTATTTTTACAATAAGAATATTTTTCAGTTGATTAGAGATTATTATTTTTTAATATAGAGACTACTAATTAAATTTTTGTATCTTTAAACAAATTTTTCTTATACATATAAATATATAATTAAAAATTGATTGCTGATCACGTGTTGAGAAAAAACCTATTGCCAATTGTGTTGTTTTATTGACAAAGAATGGTGATAAGTAGTCCCTTAATCTCATAACAAAATCGCAAATTAATATTGGTAAATGATTGTTATTAATTTTATTCCTCCAATGAAATTAGTGATAGTAGTCATTTAATATAATATTTAAAAATATGTTAAACAATATACAACTGAATTTAGTAAATTGTATTAAAAACAACAAATTATCATAAAATTTAATATATTCATAACATTAAATGTTATATTTTTAATAAAAAAATATTATTTGTTAATTTCTAATTATATTCTCTAAATATATAAATATCGGTAAATAAAAAGTTAATGTAATTATACACACATATATATATATATATATATAAATAACATATGACAATATAATAAAGTACAAAAATTAAGTATAGTACTATAGTTGTTGTTGGTGTTGTTTTTCAATAAGAATTAAAGTTTCATCTTAATAATATTTATATGTATTAACATTTGAAACAAACATTTATTATATATATTAGTGAGGCAAAACTCTAAATTTGATTGAAGAATAACACTTATGGTACTGCACCTATGTTTTATCGTAATAGATACATATTGTGATAAAAAAAAAAGTGTAAATAGTTGACTTTTATATTACAAATAAGAGTACATTATTTAGGAAATGAAGCATTAAAAGTATTTTTTAAAAATAAAGATAATTATTTTCAATCATTTTTATTAATTTAATTAAAAATATTTTATTAAAATCACCCATCAAGCATGCTTTTTTCCAAAACAAAACAAGCAGACTAAAACATGCGAACACTAATCTAAACATGACATGTTAGACACCACTAATAATATAGTGGCAACACAATAAAATTTTAAAATATAAAAGTAAATTACTAAATTTTATTTTCAATTTTTTTCTTTCTTTCATGTGTACTCTGTTCTTCAATGTTCTTTCGACAGCCAAATTCATTACTGTGGCATTGCTCCAGTGAACCGTTGGCGCTGTGTCACCAGGTTACTCTGTTTAAACATTCATGTACCCTATGAACTATACTATTACTTACAGGAGCTAAGGATTTTGGAATTTTATTTATTTATTTATCATATTGGTACCAATTTTTATGGTGTGGTTGAATTGATGTTAAATTTACTTAAGTCTAAATTCATTTTAACAAGTTATAATTTTCATGATAAAATGTATTTTAAGATGATTTCATTAAATATTGAGACATGCACTTAATGCGTTGTCAATATATATCTTCTTTAGTCTCTAAATCATAACTATTCTTTAACAAAATGAATCTTGTTCAAGTTGAGTGAAATTCCTGTAGACAATAAAGGTTTCTTTTTTGTGTGAAATATTTAATAATGCTACATTTTTATGAACACAAATTGGCGATGACATGTGTAGCGAAATAACATAAGTTGATGCAGGGACTAGATGTATTGCCGCAGGTTGTGTTGAATGACAGAGAAATCAGATAAAACGAAGGAAGTAGGGTTTTGGTCCCAGCAATAACAGAGGACGTAAAAAGGTGATTCACACACAAAGTCACAGAATCCTCGGCCACAGAGAGAGAGAAAGCGAAATGGGACTATTGGCAAAGGGAAAGGGAAAGAGCAACAACACTAACACCGACAACACCACCCATAACAGTAACAGGGAGGGTATGGGCTTACTCCTAGTTTTCTTCCCAGAAAATAACGCTCCAAATCCCACTCCAACCATTGCTAACAAAACCAACCTTCTCTCTTCTTCTTCTTCTTCTTCTTCTTCTTCTTCTTCTCCCTTTTTCAAAAGAACCAATTCCAATGTCATCTTCTCCAAAGCCCAGTCAACAATTTCCATATGCTTCTTCCTCCTCTTCTCCACTCTCCTTCTCTTCACCCTCTCCACCTTTGAACCCACCATCCCCACAGACCCTTTCTTTTTACACAAACCCCACTTTACTTCCTCCAAACCCCCCAACGACACTCGTTTCACTTCAACCGCACTTCAACGCATGGGCAATCTCTACCGCCGAGGAACCCGAGCCATGAACGACATCGTCGTTTGCCACGTCCCCGAAGACACAACCTCCCAAGAATTTCAACTCTTTCTCAGACTCCTCCATCGTTCTGGCGTCACTTCCAAATCCGACGTCGTTTTCATCTTCCCTTCTCCTACCTCCGTGTCCACCTTCGACCCCATTGTTCGTGAAGAGAACGACTTGTTTTTGTCACTCGTCGCGCTCCACGCCGAGTTGAACTCGACTCAGTGGAGCAAATCGCCCGAGTCGAGTTTCGACGTGACTCGCTTCTTGAAGTTTGCTAAGAACGGAGAGTCGCCTTGGGGGAAGAGAATTAAAAGCAATATGAGTGGTTCAGATGCAGAAGAGAGCGAGTTGACTCGGGCGAGTTACGGATCGGTGCTGAGTTTCGACGCTAATGAACTTGACCCGGAGAACGCACTTGCTGGGTTTTTGGACCGAGTTCCGCTGAGTTTGAGGATATGGGCTTGTTACCCCATGTTACTCGGCCGAGTCAGGAGGAAATTCAAACACGTAATGCTAGTTGATGTGAAGAATTTGGTGATTTTAAATGACCCGCTCGGGCGAGTCAGGAATCGGAGTCCCGAGTCGGTTTATTTGTACCCGGTAATGAATAATGGAAAGCATGGGAAGAAGAACTCGGAGAGAACTCAATCTCACCTGGTTAACTCAGCGATTCTAATGGGGGGTGCTCGTGGGGTTCGGCGATTGGCGAACGCAATGCTGATTGAGATTGTTAGAGCCGCAATGCAGCACAAGAAGAAGAGCCCGGTGTCCGGGTCGGCGATTCTGAGTCAACTCGTTCGGAATGAGTTTGTGTTGAAGAACGTTCATTTGATCGTCTCGAGCGAGTCAATACCGGAAGCGAGTTCACTCGCTGCTTCGACGTGGTTTTCAGATTATTCAATAATTCAACGGGGTATGGGTAATTATGACCTTAATTATGTTATTAAGAAGCATATTTGTTCCTCTGTAGTTGATTCTTCTGTTTATAGAGATTGTTAACTATTAGAAAAAGGAAATATAAAAAGAAATATAGGTAAATATTAATGAGAAAATTCATGTATTTATTACCATTGTTTTATAGCATAACAATTCTTACCTTCTTTCCTCTGTTAGTTGTACCTATTTATTGAATTATTTAATGATTGGAGCAGACAGAAAAATTTAACATGCAAGAAGCAATCCTTAATCCTAGTATTGCATTAATATATCCCATTTTTCAGATTATTTTTTAAACAATTTACCAGTTCCTTTAATTAATTCTTAATTATTTTATTTATTACGTAGTTTTTCTTATGCAATTATAGTTTTTACATATAATCTCGCCACCTGAGTTTTATTTCGCATATAACTATTATAATTTTTACATATTTTTTTGTATAAATCATCACCCAAATTTTGCTAATTTATTTCCACAATATAACATTAAAATTAATTTTTTATATCGATTTTAAATATTTAAAAGGAAAATTAACTTTTAATTAAAAATATAAATTTGTTAATTTTATATTTTTAGAAATACTTGGCTTAGGATTAACAATATTATTACTATTTATTTATTATCGTTGGGATGCATGAAGTGGGCTTTCCAGGGAAAGTCAACGGAAAAAGAAGGAAATTGGGTAAAAATGAAAAAAAACAGCAAAGTTTTCATTTCAATGAAAGGAATGAGGCAACTACGTAGCACGGTAGCTGTAAAGCGCATTGATTATGCCATGTGCGGTGATGGCTATGTTTTTGGACAAATCTTATTTGTTATATTATAGGTATATTTAGTGTTATTTTTAATTAAAATTTAGTAATATACATTTTTTTATTTTTAATTTTATTGAATACATTTTTAACAAAAGTTTTAATAAAAATTCATGTATAATAAATTATTATTAAAAATTATAAAATATTACATAATTTAATATGTTTATCTTTTATAATATTCTTTATAAAAGATCAACATTTATTAATTAAATACCCACCTAATTTTGTTCTTATTTTACTGTGCCTCTTTTTGCTGGTTATTAATAATTAATTAATACCAATTGTTGTTTTTGGGTTTTCAAAATTCCTGCTTTATAAAGCATAAAAGGTAGCGAAACGTGCTTATTACGCGGCTTTTTCACCGTGCTCTGACCTTTGTGGCCAAACAAGGTCCATTGCTTCGAGCGGCGTAAAAGCAATTGTTTTTTTAGTGTTAGTTTAAAGGGAAGAATATGGGTTAATGCGTTCTTAATTTTGTAAAAGCAGTTATTTGATTACGTAAATGTGTTCTTAATTTGTAAAAGCAATTCTTTGATTACGTTAATGCGTTCTTAATTTGATTTGGAACTGATTAAGAAGAAAAAGGATCTAGTTCTTTCAGAATAAAAAAGTAGGTAAAGAAAGAAACATAAATGCCTGTCTATTGAATTTAAATATTTTGTACATATAACTACAACAGTATTAAGCAAAAATAAATAATTAAAAGTGATAATTTTTTAATAAAAAATAATTATCATAAATATAAAAGTATAACAAACATTATATATTTTTAATAATTTTTTATTTTAAAATGAATTAAATGAATTTTAAATACTCAAATTAATAAAATCAATTTAATAAACTTCAACTCAATGATCTATATGCAGTCACTTTTTCACTTTATACCTCTCGTTACTTTAAATAATAAAGAAATTAAAATTACGAAAAGAAATATGAGATTAGTCACAACATGTTATAATTTATGTGTTGTTTTCAATAATGTTGTCATGTTTTTTTAGGTAAGAATAAAAAATCTTTTTTTATTGTAAATTAAGTAAAAATATATTGAAAATTATAATAAAATTGTATTTATGACATTGTAAAAAATGTTTTTAATTTTTTTATCTGATAAAATTTGACATTGGTTATTATTGTTTTTTCTCACAACAGATGTTTTAATAACGTATTTTATGTTATATATGCTTTTTCTAACAAGTATTACTTAAAGTTTATAAAAAATTTCAAAATGAAGTGGACAGGATGAAAAAAGAAAATAAAATGAAAATATTTTATTTTATTCTATTTTATTTTACACATGTATCATTCATTACAGTGAATCTTATTAAAAATAATAATAATAATGTGCTATGCACTTAATTTGCAGGTATTAGCCCTGTGTGCTAAATCAGCCTTCATTATGTAAATATTATATATATAATAAAGACTCTCAGTTAGTTTATTTTAATATAAATAAGTCTTGAATGAATAATTCATTTACTTTAAAACTCTCAATGATATTGGTATTTATTTTTGAAATATTGTTACTAAATTTAATAGTTTAGAAGATAAAATAATAATTTTGAAACCAATGATAAAGGTGTTCAAAACTTCACTTCATCTTCTTAAATTCCAAAGATTGAAAAAAAAATATATTATAAGAGACTTGTTTTATTATCCATCAGTAAGAAGTTTTTTTACATTAAAATAAACTAGTAAGTATAGTGCATTTTATATCTCAAGAGAGGTTATTGGGTTTAATCTCTTAGGCCCATTTTAAATAATTTCTAATTTATATATGAGCTTTTCAATTGTAAGATCTTACAATTAAAAATTTTTTAGATTAAAAAATGTCAATCTTTGTTTAGTCAATAAATACTTATAGAAAAATTAAAAAATATTTATACCAAATGAATGGTTAATTAGATTATACGAAAAAAATAAATCTTGTAAGAAGGGCTAGTTCTGTAATATTGTGAAATTTTAACTTGAAATATTTTTTTTCTTAATTTAAAGATGTTAAGAAATGACTACTAATTATCCAAATTTCTTCCTTTGACTTTTGTTTGGAGAATCTAAATAGGATAGATTAAAAAAGAGTGACAAAATGACGAAAATAAACTTTGACTTAAGAGTGTACGGATACACCACATAATATATATATAAGACAATAATTTAAATATGTCTAATAATAAAATTTTAGGACATGATATGATTATAATTCAACATATAACTTTGTTTTGCAAGTTAATACGAACGTTATTATAAAACTAACATGTAATAAAATTTTAAAATAATAGATAATTTGTACTTTAAAAAATAAGTACGTATCACTGTAGAAATAATAAAATTTAATACTGTATTTTTTTTCGAATACTGTATCTAATAATTATTATTATAATATTCCAACTTATGCTAAAAAATTAAAATTAAAAATGTCCAGGTAGTGTCGGTCCAAGATGAATACACGTCTAATACAAGATTACAAGTAGAAAGTCCGTACATTCTTGACATTTACGTGTATAATTGTATTGATATTTTCAAGATTCTAATTTAACCCCTCCTTATGTCCATTTCTAACAAAATGTTTGCCCATTGATAAAGAGAAAATAAAAATACAAATTAATATTTAAAATTGCATTTCACATCACAAAATGCACAAAAGATTAAAAATTTTAGCAATTTGTTGTTTTTATCTTAATTGGCTAAAACACCTAATTTAATCCAAGATAACTTAACCCTTATACCTTTTGTAAGAATGAATTAAAAGTTATGTATAAATTTGAAACTTCTTAGATACTATTAATTTAAGTAATGGGAAGTGTATTTTTCTGAAGATTTTGAATTTAAATTTTATGAATGAATTAAAAATATTTCTTTTAAGTTTAATTAGTCTTTCAGTCTTCTTACTTATATGGAGATGATTGATTTTAATCTACCAAACTTTAATTGCATACTTTTAGTTTTTTTTTAATTATGATTACTCTGTTATTTTATCAGCTAATTACTAAAATGACTTTCAAATCTTGAAAGTCATAAGCCAAAAACAACTTATACATGATCATAATATATGGATAGGGTTCAACTCTCTTGTTAAGTTTCCTTCAATGCTTTTTTTTTTTTTTTTTTTTTTTTTTTTTTTGCATTACATGAATATGAATTCTAGTTATTTATTGCTGACGACAAGTCATATATTCATGAGTGGTTATCATTAAAATTTAGGCCATTTTTATACAATTTTTTAAAGAAAAATAATCCTTGGTTCCACTTTTAAGAAAGATCAAACCCAATTGATTTTGTTGAAAAACATTGGTTCCAGATATTGATATGCTTGAACATTATGCAATTCCCCTACTTCAAGGTTATATTAAGCAATGTACACAGCTACGTCAAATGTGAGTCTTAAAACCGATTACAAAAATCTTTAAGATAATGATTATGACCACGTGCATGTGCAATACTATAAATTTATGATTTAGTGATTGTCAAACTTTAGTCAATTATAACAATTGATTTAGCAAATGACGATAATATCAATTAAAAAAAACTCAGTAATTTTTTAGTAATTGTTATATTTTGTCCTTGAAAAACTCAGTTATTAAGTTGGTTGTTATAACATGATTTATACAATAAAATTAAATTGAAAATTTTCGACAACCTTAGTCATTTACTAAATAAAAACCGGGTGAATTTTTAAAAAACAGCAACCATTTTAGCTATGGGTTATAAAATGAGTGTTTACATGAATTTTTGCGAATGAGGGTTGTTGGAAATGTTCCTTTCTACTAATCTCTCTTGTAATTCATTTTCTCACTGATAATCATATGTGACAATGTTCAATGGTCGTTTATTAAATGTTAGCTACTAGTGTCATTAATTGGTCCCTGAATTGTTTAGTTTAGTGTGAATCATGCAGATTCAATTGCTAATTAACATAACAATTATGATTTTGGAACTGTTTTTGGCGGTTGATGATTAGTTGCTAATTAAATTAGTGACTAATCATATATATATATATATATATATATATATTATTTAGTAATTTCTATTTTCAACAGTGAAGATATATTCTTCCTGGTTTTTTTATAAGAAATAAAATTGAATATTTTTTTATCTTAATTATAAGAAATATATGATATATTTGAAATGTATTAATTATTGAATTATATATATATATATATATATATATATATTTGTTAAATATATGTTTATGAAATAATGACTATATCATTTAATAGTATGGATATTTTTAAAATAAAATTTATATTTAT